GGAAGGCTTAACTAGGGAAGTGTGTTGGAAATGAGGCCCTAGATTTGATGCCTTAGTTGGGCCTAGTGCGCCCCTAAGAAAACTCTGCCCCCTGCGCTTAGAAACGCTATAATAGCTACTATTATAAAGCTAACTTACTACTCTTCTATAGTACGAATCTATCACTACTTCTTGCTCTCTGAAGCTCACTATTGGCCCTGTTGAGTAGCGACATCGCTGTATTACCTCGGTAAGTAACCGGCTTAGCTATTTCCAACAAAAGCTTAGTGCGCCTTGCATCTATGGGGCGGAAAATACATGCAGTTTGTAGGCCGTTGTAATAGCAATTGAGGCCGTCGTAATAGCAAAATCGGGGAATTGGAGGTAATGTTATATGAAACTGTGCGTTCATCTCACAAGGTGCCGACCTACCTACCTTACCCATGTTGGTTGATAAGGGCAGAAAAGATGACCACCTCGGCAGTGGCACAGCTGCTTAGGTGGGTACCATTCGATAGGTAGGTAGCGAACCGACATTGACATGAAGCTGCCAACCTGGAAGGTACCTTAGGCTGCCGTCTGGATGCTCTTGCCGCTCTACACCGCGGTCTTGCAGGACTATGCCTTCCCACTCCTATCAAACAAGTTCACCAACCGCCAGCACCAGGCCCCAATGTCTGGCCCAGATGGGAGGGCAGATGCGAGGAGTTTCGCCTCCATCCCTTGCCGTCTTCAATTTGCTACTGGGGGTTTGTGTGCCACATGCAGCTCGGGCCGTGCTCATTGAAACTCAGGTATTCTGTCCTGATAAACATGACACTTACGGCATTCTTTAACTTGCAGTGGGGAGTTGCAAAGGCATTCTTACCGCTCCTGTCTTGAACAGTTGAACTTAGGTTGTTCCAGTGTAGTTTGCTTCCATCCCACCATGAAGACCCCTTGCATCCGATATCCCTCTGAGCGCATCGATATGGCCGGAAGTCTACAGCCGACCATATGGGGCTTGGGCATATCCTTCTCCATCATCGCTATTGTGGCCGTCATACTTCGGTTTGTCGCTCGCGGATTAATGGCCAAAAGTTGGGATCCGATGACTGGACCATTGTCATTTCCCTGGTACGGCATGCTCAATCCCATCCAATGTCCATGGCCATTGATCGGCTCCTTGCTAACACACGGACGTACACTTTCCAGATACTCGGGCTTGGTGTCACGATAGACATTCTCATTAGTGAGCTACAATGCGAACTTGGAACCTCCAATCCAGGCTTCGATCCACCAGCACATTATGACTCTGACCAGACCATTTGCGACTTTATCAGTGACCCAACTCGGCGGTCTCGGAACCCATACAGAGTATGATAGTGACGGAAATCCTGTCAATCCGGGCCCTGAAGCCACCGTAATCTTTGGGAAAGTAAGTACTCTTGCCTCTCTGTGCACAACGACGCTGCTCCGTGATTTGAATACTGATTGTACATTCGCTACCTTACGCAGACAATATACGCGCTTCAGGTCCTAACCTGGCCGGCGGTGGGCATGACCAAGATCAGCGTCCTTTTGATGTATAAACGTATATTCAGCACGCCCAAGATCAAGACGATGACCTGGATCCTGATTGGACTTAACGTTGCTTGGACACTAACGTTTATATTTGCACTTATGTGCACGTCCGCCTTTTGCTACGTATGTTGGATACGCAGCTGACTGGAATGTTCTAGTCTCCTGCATGCCGATTGCCTCCTCGTGGGATTACACGCTGGACTTCACCTGCGTCGACCTAAAGGCACTCTTCACTACCGCCTTGGCGACAGACGTCGCCACGGACTGTAAGCCCCACGAAAGAAGAAACACTACGTCTGACGGTTTGGGTGGTATTTCAACTAACGCGTGAGCTAGTCTTGGTCCTACTGTTGCCACTATACAAAGTCTGGCAGCTGCAGATGCCCCTCGCGCGGAAGATTATGATCATGGGCATCTTCCTCCTCGGTATCTTGGTCAGCGTCGTTGGCCTCGTTCGAATCCACTTCTTGACCCAAATTTACGCCGTCCTCGAGCAAACCCGTGAAATGGACACCACTTGTATGTTGCTCCGAATCATGAGACATCCACGCCCACGGCAGCCAGACCAATGTAAAGCTGACATAGATCTTAGGGCTCTACACCCCAGTCTACTACTGGACCATTATCGAGACCAATGTCGGTGTGCTGAGCGCTTGTCTTCCCACCCTCCGTCCTGTGCAGGAGCTCCTCACCCGTCACGTGAAGCTTTCCTACCTCAACCTTCAGGGCTCGCTTACGCGTCTTCTCCCATCGACAGTCGGAAGACAGAGCGACATTGGTCTCGGCTCGATGGAGGCGGGATTCAAGTCGGCTGGGAGTGAAGCGTCTCTCAATAGAACCAGGTTAGAACCAGGTAACCAAAGGCCAATCGTCGCCTACACTTGGAAGAGGAGGACCTCGGCAGGCATTCCTTCTTGTTCTTTTAGGGCCACTGCCTCTCGTTATTGAGGATAGCTATAGTCGTTATAGAGCTCGGTACCTGAGTACAGAAATCTCTTAGTGCTAGTTGTATCGAGATCGGGACAAATCCTTCAATATCAGTTGTTCATTCCACGATACATGTACACACCGTAAGACTTGTTGGTCCAAGGATAGCCTGTCTAAACCGTAGAATCCGCTGCGCGTTGGCAACATTACGCTGTTATATTCTGAGGAAGATGGGACAAAACTTGCTTAAAGGCTTCGAAACTAGGTAGGTAGGTATATACGCTACTTGATAGAATGACGACCTAGATGTCAACAAGTTACTCGGATCAAGTTCTCAAGTAAGTCGTGTGAGCCAACTTAAGGTGCCTAGGAACATGGGTACCTGTATTCCAAGTTACCTACCAGGAGGGCTTTTCTCTGCCATCACTGACAACAATATGTTCCAGTACGGGGGCCATCAGTGTTCGTCTTGCCTGCACCAGACTTGAATGCCAAAGCGAACGGTAATGTTGCCAGTGATGACAGAAACCCCCTATCTCTGCTATGTAGTAGGAGCCAAACCAGTTCAGTATGGATTGAAGTCAAACTTAAGTTGATAGGAGGTGCGAAGAATCCGATGAGGAGACTGGAGCTGAAGGATCGGACTCTGAGGAAACCTACGAAGTTAGATGGCAAGCCAGAAACCTACCTAGGTGCTTACATGTATCTATCCGTAGTTGATCCAGACCCGGGAGACTGCAGTGGAGTCTCTAACATATACTAACACCACAGTAGACCGTTAAAGGGATTCAGCTCAGGCTCTCATCCACTATGACATCCAACTAATGCAAAGCGAGGAGGACAGTATTGAACGGGGTGAAGTGCTCTACCATGAGCCAGAGGGCTGGGCTCAGGAGGCCTGTTCAGGGGCCCAGCCTAGTGTGGTTGTTATTGTGCAGAGCGTCTTCGTGGGTCAGGGGTTAGGTTGCGTGTGGTTCAGGGGGGTCGTACATGGGTTCCTTTCCCGCCGCGGCGCAGGTCCCAGTCCATGAGCCCCTGACAGGAGCAGGATAAATAGTCTTCCACAGTCGCCCTTCTCCTAGGGGCACCTAGCAAGCTCTTTTCCTCCTTTCTTTCTTACCACTTGATCAGACGCACGGCCTACGGCTGTGGCCCTCTATACCGTGGAGGGGGATTGGGGGAGGGTATTGGTTTTGGTTCTGGTCTATGGTCTCTGGTCTCTGGTACGTGGTTTCCTTTGCTTGGCTTCCTCCTCTATTTGTGGGTCCAGTTGTAGGTTGGATTTCTCACCATGTTCAGTATAACAACAAGCTGAAGCCCAGATAGGTAGCGCCCTTATAATTGAAGCACATCGGTAGTACTACCTTCGTTTGACAGCATGCTGCAATTAATGGATGTCTTACAGGCTTGCATCATTCAAACTTAGATCTCAAAGTGTTCTGACCGGAATGCCAGGGACCACTTTCTCGCTGGTAACATACTAGTATATCGATATGTGTCTTATTCAGTTATAGATATAAGTTGAGAAGCTGCTGCCAGGATAGCTGAGCCTAGCTACTATATACGAGTATGCTAGTATAGCACCAGACCCCTTTTTCTGTGGCCTTTCGAGCCGGGACCGCTAATCACTGTTGGTCTTTTCGTCCGCTTCGGAAACAGATTGCCATGTGATTCATCTAAAATTAGGAGTCACATAACGTCAAGCCCCTTGAAGCATGTTGGGCCTGCGTCTCTATAATTCCCGCCGAGCATAATTCGGCGCCGGCCTACAGAGCGGTTCCGTGGCCCGGATCCAACTACACCCGGCCGGACCCGACACCCAGGGTACTCCTACCGACACCTTCTGTAACTACTCTACCCATTAATGCATTTCAGTCCCGTAAGCTGCTGTCAATATTTGCCTAGGTGCATACTAGTCGGTGTAAAGTAGGTCGTCCGTCTTGCCTGGTATTCATCTGCAGTGACTTACGTTGCTTCAAGTCCCGTTCCTGGTACATGTATATATGTAATGAATATGTCGTACTGGCGCGGGTAGATTCTGACAGCCAAAAGACAGCTTGTACGGCAGCTTCCGTGGTCCTCATGTAAGTTCCCGGGACAGACTTGACATCAACCTGACACTGGGTGAGGACGGCAGGCTTAGTTCAAACGTGTCCTCCCTTATATATCTGCAGGCACCCGCTTGCCGAGCCATTCTCGTTCATACTATCTCCTGACTAACCATTCACTCCCGTTCCGAGTTTCCGAATTAGTAGCATGTGCACAACAGTCGATTGTGCTGCCAATTGAACATGTTCATGCAACATCCCAGCTTGCCTGTATGTACCTTAGGCATAGCATCGGCAAGCTGCAGGACGCGAAACATCCTGTCAACGCCGCTTCAACTTCTGGCCGGGACATTCCACGTTCCAACAACTTGCATCACCAACGTGCCGTCCCGTGAATCCATCATTCCTTCTATGAATAAGTACCTCGCGATGACTCAAGAAGACGGGGATATTGAAATGATGAGTCAAATCGGGCGAACTCACTTACCGTCCCATCTCACAGAAAAACATCATGATTGCCATGACGTCGTGCAACCAAATAGCCCTCGGAAGGCATCAAACAAGAAGGGCTTGTGACTACTACTGTATAGTACCCAATAGGTACTAGTAAGGTACAAACACAAAGCAAAAACCGTTGTGTAACAAACGCACTCACTCGTACGGAGAATTGTAGATGTGATGGCACAAGGGCATCACGTGTAGATAGGAGAATATCATGAACAACCTGAACTTCGTGCTTGAGGTGGCTTTTCGATGCTTACTCCGTACTTGTCTTCATTACCTAAGGTACCTAGGTACTTCCATCTTCATTCCGAGTCGTTATCGTGTTCCATTAGCTGTTCACTGCAACACGGAATAAATCGAAAACATTGACTTCAATCCGGCGCACCCGAAAGCAGATCGATGAAGGATCGCTTGAACTCCACAATGGCGTTTTCTGTTGGCTGGCTTGTACGGAGAATTTGGGTGCTCGGTTACAGAAACCGTTTTCGCAAGGGCCAAGAAGCTCGCATCAATCTCGGATCACACACCGCCAATTCTGAGCGTCTCGCTGGTGCCAACACGATAACAACTACACTGACAACATTGTGGTGTTTTTTCGTATACTAGACAGTAAACACGCAGCCCAGAGATTGCACGGATCTTTGTTAGCGTGGCTGCGGCTGAGTCCCCGGCATCCCATGAGCGCAAGGAATTTCCTTATCAGGGCAAATATACGGTACGTTTGGCGCGGCATTAAGGTAGCATTTTCCCTCAGGGTAACCTACCCTACACCTGTAGATACACGGCACGGTAGTAGTGTAGCATTGGCGGTCCCGAGGGTCCGTAACCCGGTGCTTGGAATTAATTAATGCCCGTAGACTTCACAGTAAAAATGGGTAAATGCTGCCGAGATCTCGCATTTACAGCAGCGCAACATGTGTGAATATATCTACCTACATTGTGTGCAATACACGGTTAATTAACCTTAGAATGAAAGACGTCCTGTATCCGGGCGCAATCCATGAGCTCTTGCTCTTCCCATGCCAGTGAGTGAGACACTGCGAATCAGCAGTCGTATTTCGGGCAGTTGTGTCACAGTAAGTTAGCGCAAACCCAAGACAAGGGGTAGGTACCTCCCTTCACCCTTGTCGTCCGAAAGACCTCACGGCCCGTCTATCGATGCGGGTGCAGCGATCGGCAGCTCTGGTGGGGTCCCAGAAGCAAATCCAGGCCCGACGCCTGCGTGCGGATGCGCCATGGACTGGGTAACTATTGGAATACATCGCTTCGCGATTGGGTAGGATTTTGCAGTTAGCACGTCCCTTGAAGAATCAGCAAGCAAAGTTCTTCGCTCCTTGCATCATTGCATGGCTTACTGTCGTATCTTTGCTGACTGCCCGGGGGGATATTGTTGTGATGGATTCCCCGACCGAGAATGGGCAGTTGGTCCACGTTTCAGTGGTCCCTCAAGAAGATCGCTAATACTGCCCATTAGGAACAGCTGAAAAACAACATTGGGAAAATCGCTTGATTTACTGGCCGCCAGGCGCGCGAATGTCCAATGTCCCCGGGGACCTGGTGTGACCCGATCCCGCATTGGCGGCCCAACGTGCCCGCGCTGCTGCGGCTGCACAAACGCTGCATCTTGTCCATGCTACATAGAGTTAGGTGCTCAAGGTTCAAGTTGTAGGTAGGACAGTGTAAGTCAGCTATGTGTTCACGGTACCCCAGATGATCGCTTGATCAAGCCACGGCGCACAAAGCCACCGGCAGGGCTGTGACGAAAAACCTGAATTCTCCAATGCGCGCGGAAAGTTCCATGATACCTATGACTATGGTCTCAGGCGAGCCTTTTTGGTGACGCTGCTCTCTTGGGCCAAGTTGGCCGGCCAAGCCGTAGCTGCGCGATCTGTGATTATACATCCGTCTCTGTACGTTTGAAAGTAGTGTAACTACATAGGTACATAACCAACGTAAAACTTGTCGGACTGCTGTGCTGAACTGCGCAGATTCGATCAGGCCAGACTGCGTCGAGGAACAACCTGATGTTAGTTAGTACGTGTAGCTTACTGTTAGAGGAAAAGCGGCAAGAGAGACAGGGGTCTTACACCGGTAGCTACAGCAAGCTGCGGAAACGAGCCTATCCTTGCTAACTGTAAGCGGCGTAGTGGCTGCACTGGCAGAGCTTGATTGGCTCCTCGGTATTCAACCCTGGCTGGACTTGCAGCCTTGGCCCCCAAAGCGGACCAGGGCGCAGATCACACCAGTACCACGCTATTTTCGGCAATCGCAGCCTGACAACCCCTGCCGAAAGTAGCGCGTGCCCCACCTCCCCACGTTCTTCTTTCGACTTCAACGCGCCAAGAATTCCTCGACCTCAAGCTTTCCCTCAACTTCGATTCCGGCACCGAATCAGCCCGCAAGAACCAGCCCGCAAAAGCTCCAATCCTAGCACTGGACGACTCATACGCTTTCATTTGTCAAGGCTGTGTGCGCCTTGCAGCAGATGAGATGTCGAGTCCTGTACCAACGCATACGAGCTTAGGAGATATTGACTTTATCGAGACGCGGTGGACGAACGCTGGCCTTTCTGCAAGGGCATCCATGCTCATTCGTTTCTTCTTTCCCCTTCTTAACTACACGTATTTTTTTTTGTCAATGCCCATGTGGCTTGGCTGTTTTCGATAACCAACATCAGCTGGATCTGACCAAACGGGGTCCATCAAGGCAGCCGAGGTCAGGCGGAGTGCCCACCTCGTCGGCTTTCTCCACCAAGTGCCTAGCCAGAAGAATGGAATCTTCCATAACATGGCCTGGCCCGATCTAGTGTGCACTATTGCGACGGGCCGGACGATGCGGACATACGATACATCCCCGCCATCATCTCGACAACTCAGACCTGAATGAACCATTCCATCTGCCTCGCAGTCGAGCGAAAAGGAACAACAACTACTCGCTTAGACGGCGTAAACCTCCATCTCCAATGAGAAACCAAGATTTGCCAGATCTTGGGCCATTCACGGTCCAACTGCCCGGGAAGCGAGCTGCGAGCCTGCCGCATGCATGCAACATCCAATGGCGTGGCAATATCGCCTCCAGATCCGGCCTGCTGGCCACCAAGATGTTGGGTCTCATTGCACTCTAGAATTATCCGTGGTTCACGTTACCGAGGAGTCTCTCGCAATTCATCGGACTCAAAGGACAAGTTGCCAGCTCTTCCGCTAGTCGCATTCATGCCAAACCTTGGCAATGCCGGCTTCGTCTGACTGATCTCACACGCACTCTGTGTGCTCACTCGAACCACAGAACGGCCTATTCTTCGGTGCTTTCCTAATCTCATCGTGGCTGACCGAGCTTAGAACCTTTGTCTGACTCTTGACTTGCATTTTGCAAGTCATCCAACTGCATTCCCATGCCCCCGCTTGTCGCAGCAGGCCTACAGTTACCCAGATTCTCACAGCTTCGCCGTTAACGGCCAATGCTGCCAGTTGGGAAGAATTTGACTAGCTATCTGGGCGGTGCTCCTTGCATTCAGATATGCGCACCACGATTAGTATCCAAGCCACGTTCCCTCTTATTAGACGTCTCCACAAATCGCCGACCCGCATGGCTCGCCGCACATTGGCTCGTCCAGACGAAGGCGCTGGCACATGTCGGACCCTGGGTGTGACCATCTGGTCCGGTGGATGGGGCTGAGAGGCGCCCTCACTGCGGCCTCAAGCGAGCCGTGGTCTCCGCGCATCCCCTGCCCACCGCGATCTCTCTTTTGCTCTTCCGAGCTTGTCGCATTTTCCATGCCCCTGTCTCATTGTTTTGTGCAGCAGAAAGAAATAGTCTGCGCCAGCAGCCCAGGGTTTACCGCCAAATCGGCGTTGAGGGAAGCTGCCAGGAACGAGGCATGCCAAGCAGCCAGCGCCTGGTGTGTTGTTCATCGCTTGGCCCTGTAATCCTCAGCCTTCACATCTATTCCCAGCTGGAGTGTGAGCGCCGGGAACGGGGAATCGGAGCCTGCCATGGAGCCATCCAGGTTCTTGGCTCCAGCGATGAGTTCAGTCTTCGGGTGGGAGCTGCATACATCCACAGCCTCGCATTCCCTTTGACTGTCCCGCACCCTCCCAGACGTCATTATAATAGACTCTGTCTCCCGCATGACAGCTGACGCCTCCCACTCCTAACCGTTCTACATCGTGTCTTCCTCGGGTTTTCTCTTGCCTCCGCGTTGGGGTTCCATTTTCCCCCTAATAGATACTAGTCACATTCGTTCTTTACCTACTAGCCTCCGGCCCGCCTGAGCCGAATCGACTTCACCTCGCCCGCGAGGTGTCCGAGTCATGCCGTCTTCAAGCGTTTTGTCGCTTGCATGTCTGTCCCTGGCGACGCTCGCCAGGGCAGGGAGAGTTGTCTACGATTGGGATGTAACTTGGGTTTGGGCCGCGCCAGACGGCGTGGGAAGGCCCGTTATCGGGATAAACGGAGCATGGCCATGCCCGACGATTGAGGCTTCGGTGGGCGACACCGTCGTAGTCAACCTCCACAACAAGCTCGGGAACCAGACGACCGGGTTGCACTTTCACGGCATCAACCAGATCCAGACCGAGGAGATGGACGGGCCGAGTGGTGTCACTCAGTGCCCGCTCCCTCCGGACTCGTCCCTTACTTACGAGTTCTTGGTCGACGCGCCTGGGACCTATTGGTGTATGTCCCATCGACGTTGGCGCATTCTCCAGTACTGACCAGTTGTTGACAGACCACTCCCATAACATGGGGCAGTACCCTGACGGTCTGCGCGGTCCCTTGATTGTTCACGATCCCAACGACCCCTATAAGGGCAAGTATGACGAGGAGGTTATCCTTACCGTATCTGATTGGTAGGTGTTCGACGTGCCCGATGCTAAAATAGAAGCGCGTGCTAAAATGGTTGAGCAGGTACCACAACGAAAGCATTGGCCTGGTCCGCAGCATGTTGGTCCCGTCCAATACTCGATTTGCGCCTCCGTTACCGAACAACATCCTTGTCAATGAAGGTGCCGGCTCGCGGATCAACTTTGTCAAGGGCAAGAAGTATCGCGTACGCATGATTAACTTCTCCGCTTTTGCTTCCGCCATGGTCCACTACGACTCGCACACCATGAAAGTCATCATGAACGATGCTGCGTACCTGAAGCAGGAAGACGCATATCAGCTGCGCATTACGGCTGCCCAGCGGTACGACTACATCATCGAGGCGATTGATAGAGACAACGGCAACTTCCCTTTCCTTATCTCTCTGGACATCAATCGCGACTGGACCAACAAGACGCAGCCTCTACGGTGGCCGCACAACTACACTGGCTATCTCGTAATGGATGAATCGCAACCCCTTACCAAACTTGACGTTGTCGACGAATGGCGGCCTGCCGATGATTCTCATTTTAAGCCCCTCGACGATGCGCCCATGTATCCCTCGTATGACAAGCTGATCGAGCTTGACTTCAAGTTCTGTCTTGATCAGAACGGATACCCACGGTAAGATACCATCAAAGCATGCACAGCTTGTGGAATGCTCGGCTAATGCAACTCAGCTCCTGCTTCAACAACCTCACCTACATTCCCCAGCCCGTGCCCACGCTTTACACCGCCGCGACAACAGGCGACTCCAACACGAATCCGGAAATCTACGGCCAGGTCATTCCTTTCGTCGTAAACTATGGAGACGTTGTTCAGATCGTCGTGAACAACATTGACGGCGCCACGCACCCGTTCCACCTGCACGGCCACCATTTCCAGGTGCTGGACCGCCCGCACAGCGGGACCGGCAAATGGCCCCGCCGTGATGTCAACTACAGGAGTACACCGCCGATGCGCGATACGGTTGCCATCATGGCCGACTCGTTTGCCGTGTTGCGCTTTAAGGCCACCAACCCGGGCGTGTGGCTCTTCCATTGCCACATTGAGTGGCATGTCGAGATGGGCCTGACGGCTACCATCATTGAGGCGCCCGACCGCCTGCGCGGCAAGACATTCCCCGACGACCACATGGCTGCGTGCCAGAAGATGGGCATCCCAACCGCAGGCAATGCCGCTGGTAACACGCAGAATTACACCGACACCACGGGCTTCATTACTGTGCCGCCTACTGAGTACAACGGGTGAGTTTCCTATCATGACAACAAACACGGATGCGGTTAAGCATGTTCACTAACCTTGGAATGTGATAGCGCCATGTACCCTGTCGCTGCGGCTGGTGGTGGCAACCAGAATGGTGGTGGTAACAACAAGAAGAGCAGGCGCAGCCGCATTATGAGAGCGGAGCCGGGCCCGTTCTACTAGATTACCCCGGGAGCGGACTGGGACAGCCGTCCAAAAGTCCCAAAGTCCCCGGATATGTCTGCTGTGGTTTTTTGTCCTTTTCGGAGGGATCACCGACGCCCTGGGGTGATTTCCGTTGACGCCGTCTGTGAGGATCCCCCTCCAACCTCCATTTTTCACCTCACCCTTTTTACCCCTTTAACGGTCAGAAGGACGATGTGATGTGTTCATGTGAAGGACGTAACCCAAGCATATCCATATATGGGGAAAACGCACCCCACACGCACACGCAAGTATTATATATATATAACTGGGCGGGAGTAATGTTGTTGACGAAAGTTTCTTGTCATGTTTTATGAGCAACTCATTGGGGATTTTGGATTTGGATTTTGGGATGGCATGGGTAGCATGGGCTTGGAAACGTCACGGGGATCCATAAAACTGGCTTGTTTGTGTCCTGTGTGTGTGTCCTGTGTGTGTGTCCTGTGTGTGTGTCCTGTGATTGCCAAGTACAACTACTGAATCCTTCGTTAGTGCTCAACTCTTGGAGTGACATACCTGGACCCGTCCGGAGCCGGAAATGGTTTGGCACCAATATGACTGACTGCCCCTCTCACTGGATATCAGTGGTCCATGGTTGTGGTTTTGACAACAAGGAGAAGGGGGGCTGGGGGAGGAGGTACGACATTCCAGTCGACACCTTTGCATATCGGTGAGTTGCCCCCCCCCCCCCATCATCATCACGACACCGAGGCGGATTTTCACATCATCAAACATAACGTTAGATGTTCATTTCAAGATGCACTTGCCTGGTACTGTAATGAGTTAGCCAAAGGTAGTGTACCTTCCTTGGGCGCTGCGGTGAGGTGAGCATCAAATTTGCCCATTCCTGCATTTCTTCTTTTTATTCCTTCGTTCACAACCACCTCGTAACCGTAACGTTCACGAGAGCCAGCTAGCGAGGGACCTGGACTGGAATACGTGTATGGCTTAGGCAGGCAGGGCAGGGGCATCAGGGCGGTGGAATGGAAGGTTCTTTTTGCGGCAGGCAAGGCAAGGCTAGGCAGGGGGCCACTAGTGTAGAAAACAAAAACATGTGAAAAAGGGGGGGTTGGCCTAACCACTTAACTGAGAACAGCGACTCAGCTTGTTGTTTGGAATGCCACTCGTTTCTGCACATGGCTTTATTAATGTTAGTTTGGTTTGGATGGGTTTGTTCTGCGTTTCTAGGCCGGCCGGCGATACGAGCATCTGTCTTATTGCTTTTGCGTTTCTTGTCGCATCATGTTGTGGCCGGTGATTCCGGGCTGGCTGGCTGGCTTGTTCATTTCAGCGGTCTGGGTGCTCAGACGGAGAGACAGGGGGATTGGTGAGATGGACTGGGGGATTTTGGTGTGGATACAATTTCCCCAGGAGGCTGGCTGGCCGGCTGACTCTGCGCTGTGTGGGAGTTGTATGTATCTCCTTCGAAGTACGGATAGACAGGCCAGTTTTGAGAGACGGAAACAACTAACCTTATCTAGACGCCGCCTGGTCGCCGGAAAGGGGTGATTTCTGAATGAACACTTCAGCTGGAGTTCGTGATAGGGAGAAAAGGGGGGTTCGACGGATCAAACACACCGGCGCTGGCCTGAGGGTTATCTGGCCGGACAGCCTACTTATACCGAGACACAGTTCATGAAAGGCCCAAATCGGGAAGAGGAGGTTGGTAGGAGGAGTTGGTTTCTCACAAATGGGCTACACAAGATAGATATCATTACTCGTTACCTATCTACTCACCTACATTGGCCGCGTCGGTCAGGGGAAGCTCCCGCAAACCAGCTCAACCAACTTAGGTATTGACAGCTTACCGCATGTGGTGAAGGAGGGTCGGATGCGAGGTGGAAAGCCCGCGCAAGCCACGCTCAGACTCGTACAATTAGACTATCCCGCAAAGCGGCAAGCGTGTCAGTTAAGAGAATGATCGCCTCGGTCGATCTCGATGCTCTCCTTGCTGTTCCTGAGATCTTGAGATGCCAAGCCGGTCCGACCTGCCATATTGTCAGGCAACATAGATAGACAACCCAAAGGCGACGGCAGGTTTGTCTACTATTGCGCATGGTTGTCAAGCACAGCAGAGTCGATGATCGACCTGCGCCCTTGTTGCTTTCCTGGCTGCATCTCAACCACGACTGTCCGGTGTAACGCCGACGGCGGCCGAGCATATTGGTAGAAATGCGGTCTAGACAAGATGATCTGGCTGCTTCCTGGTGCTTAGAACAAGAAGTGCCGGCGACGATGAGACATTGACCCATCAGTCCTCGATGATGTCTGTGGGGGTTGCAGTGGGATTTTCATCTGAACAGTGTCAAGCGGGGGATTAAACATCCCGTCTAGAGTCAACCGACTGCGATGTTGAAAGTCTGTTTCAGATCCATTGGCGTCCTAGGCGGCCACTTGGTATGAACTCCGGGATTACACGCGTTGGTGATTTGTAACAGCACATGTACGTTTCGGCGAATATGACATTGGCCATTGCATGTCTTGAAGTCCACGTTGCATGGTGGCCATCTTCAAAGAGTTGGGTACCAGCTGTTCGAGCAGATATGAGCTGACGGCTCGGACAAGCAAGAAAGAACCGAAACGGTGGTATGTCGGCAAAACTATTGTCGGAACGGAAAGAAGATTGGAAATTGAAGATGTGCCGCGGGCTCTGTGATCTGACCAAAGTATTTTCTCAGTCAAGCCCCGAGAAGCGCAGCTCCTGGCTGCGTCTGATAGGCAGAGCAAGAGCTCAGCTGGCACGCATGAGGCGGAGTGGACCCAATGCGCTTGCCTTGGGTTTGTTGGTTTTCATGCTGGAACTTTTCACATGCTTTTCCATCGAAGCGAGTCTTGAGCTGCGACGGAAGGAGCAGAGGTCTTGCACCACAGCACAGCATACCATGATGCCACTCGCACATCACGTTAACTGATGATTCACTCAGTAAGACCGTGTGGATGAGCAGGCTTGTCAGGAATGTGGCCAGGGTCTCCGGCAGCGATAACGTCAGGCCTGAGGCTGCCTTCCTAGGCAACTATTAACCGCAGTTCATCCGACGGACCCCGATTGCCCGCGGGATCCGCGTGGGATCCGTTTGGTTTGGTGTTGTCGCACTCCCGAACACTCCGGCTGCCATTTCTCTTGGCGATGGAAAGAGCCGGTGATCTTGGTACCGGAAGGGGGGTCAAGTCGGCCATGACTCTTTTGTTCGTCGCTTAGCCCTGGCGGGATTTGTTTCATTTCGGGTCGGATCTGATCTCGAGCTATACGATGCGGGTGCCGGCGGACCGGAAGGCCTTTGTTCTTGGGCACCGGGTGCCAAGCCAACAATAAGGGCTGGGTGGTGGAGCACTGGGTGTGGTATCGCATAACGGGACGGCGGCTGTGGGAGGGCGGCAGGATTCGGATTCGCAGATACCGGGAGTCCGGTGATGGCCGTGGGGAAGGCGGTAATGGAGGAGGGAGCCGTTCTAGGTCGGCGAGCAAAGGCGGGGCGGCGGGCCTACCGCGGCCTGCAGGCTGACATCCAATGTCGAGATGCTGAGATAATACTTCCGTACCGAGTATGGAGTAACGTTACCGAGAGCGAGATCTCGTCTTGAGAGTCTTGACCGCCAGGCGGAGGTTTGACGCAGCAGACAGGACAGCGTACATCCATCGCGCATCGCACATCGCACAGCGCAGCAATGTTGGTCTCGGTACTGTAGTAGGTCCGGAGGCTTCTCAGTTCCAGTTGGTACACAGAAATACAGATACAGCTTAGGTAGTTGCACTCACTAAGTAGAACCAGGATCATGGGATGAGTCTCTGAGGGGTCACTTCTAGCATCCTTTCGTATCGTCTCGTTTGGTCTCATTCAAACGACGACGATTCGCAGGGACCAGCTCTGAGCTGGCAGTCTCGGTCTCAGCTAGTGGAGGCTGAACACCAGCGCTGCCTGATCCAGACACTGGCAGCGCCTTGTCTCTGAATTGCCTTGTCAAATGAAGCGCGCGGCTGGGACGAATCAGTTACTATTACTGGGAATACCAATTCGGGCATAACGTCAAGCCAGATATCCCACGCAGTACCGTAACGCCTTCCCAGAGGCTGACTGCCTCCCAGCCCCGCCCTCCAAATGGCAGACGCCGCGCGATAAGGCCTTTGTTGCGGTTTCCGGCGGTTTTGCGAACAGTGGCTCAACTCAAGTGTGATAGGCAATTGCGGTATGAATGTATGCCAGTTACATCATGTGTACGGTAGGAAATGAAAACGCATTTCGGGGTGTCCGGAGCTCTGAGTTTGTGCGATGTGCGAGAGACATCAGGTAACGTTAACGCTAATAGTTGCATTTCAGGAGCGGTATCTATGAAGGGATTGTACTGGATTGTACCGTACTAGTGCATGACGGTACGGTTTGATAACTCCATCGACACCGATTCTTCATTCTATGCTCGAGATTCTGTTGCTGCAAGTTCAATCCTCAGGAATTGACAATGCTGGCTGGAAATCCGGTTTGTCGGGACGACTTTATTTTGTCTACACGAGAAGGGCAAAGTACCTGCATCACGCTACGTAAACGATTCCCGGGTCCCGCGATCTCATTATCCCATATCAATCAATATCAGCAGGGAGACGCTCGGGCCGCATCGCAGACGGCCAAGTATGTTCAGCTCGTTAAATCAACGGTGCCGTCTGCATTGGCGAATTCTTGGCAGGGCACTGTTCGTTCGCTGTTCATGTGTTCCTGGCCAATGAGTACGTGTAATTTAACACTTCAGGTACGGTACTTTCGTAATTTACACTCCACTAGGGACGCTAAGGTAGGATGGAACTGCGAAGGAGCAGCACAGGCTCCACCTTCCCCACACTGGCATCCGCGCTTGGAAATGGATCTCATCGCTCATTGCCCAATTCCCACTCACCCAATCTCCACAACACATGACCCAACGTTAACCTCAGTCTGTCCAAACCTAAGGCGAAAGGGGCACGCATCTTCCAAGTCTTGAAAGTTCAAACCAGGAAACAACTGAAACAGAAACACTCGAGCGTCTCAATGTCTTCAATGGCTTCGTCGATCTGCCTTCATCACACCAGGAAGCTCCTGGTCGATTTAGAACCCAAAGCATCGATGACATCAGAAAAAGCCATGGCGGCTTGTGTGATTGACGCCGGCCAGTGGCCGACACATGCGGACCGCTACACGTGTACGGATGCCATCTCTTGGCTCGTGTCTTGATGCACCAAAGCTCGCACGGCTACCACGACCGGTCAAGCTACGGAGGTACCTACTACCGGTACAACACACGGCACTAACGTTATCCGTGACTACGGATACGGAGTACCTCACCGTACCTTACCTAACGTTATCTTCCATCTCTGCCTTGCGGCCAACTGTGGCGCCCGCTTAAGGCTACTCTATCAGGCTGACAAATTGCGCCTGCGTCTGTATGCCAACGGACTTGACAATCCAGCATCTACGGATACACTACTGTATGTATGTACAATACACTATCTAGCCGTATCTCCCCCCTCCCGCGTCACGTATCTCTGCTACCTAAACACCGTGATTAGGCCAATATCGACCTCCTGCACGTTCTTGCGGAACCAGTTGTTCTGCTGTGTGGTTCCGGAACCAGAGGCTCCTTCACCTTGGCTAGGAATTCCATTGTGCCCCAGAAGGGTTGGAAACTGGAAGAAGCAGAACCTCGAGATCCCGCCGTCCCGGCAGTCATGGCCCATGGGAGCTCTCCGGACCGGTATGCTGGCTGCAACTATCCACGGTCACGAATATGCAGCATCTCGATCAGAAAGAACGGTCAGCCATGTTATTTATGCAGTCTCCAGCTCTCGAGCCTGAGCGACACTGTGCTGTACGAAAATGCGCACTACCGAGACGCCGTCGGCCGTCTAGCTGCCCAATGGCATGCTGGGTATTGTGACAGTGCACCCTTGACACATCGCACAGCACGCAGTGCGCCGTTGCAGGAGCGGTGCTCGTACGCCCACAATACGGATTTTATTTTCGACATCACGGCATCCCGTGGTTCGAAGCCTATCGGGACCAGCTCAACCCGCGTCAACGCTCACTGGACCAAGCCACCGCCCCCTCCCAGATTTGGGGCCAGCCCCTGGCAAGAAAGGCCGAAGCCAGCCAGCCTGCCGCCCGCTTCTAATTAGGAGCTTGTTTGGCCAAGAAGCGTTCGTCGCTTGGTTCGCTTTGGGGCTGAAAGACAGCTTCAAGCAAGTTTACAATAGTCAACGTCTTGTTCAGACCAGGCGTGTAAGCTGCTCTGAGCTTTGGACGATCCTTGCCAGCTGCGGGAACTTGGTCTGACCTATGGGAGCCCGGCATGTCAGCCAATCCCACCGTCATTTCAAATGAGGCTCACTCCGCCGCCAGCTGGCGCGAACTACATCCCTTGTCTCGTTATGAGACCGGAAAGGGAAACCAAACAAACAACCAATGCAAAAAACCCAGAATGAAGAAATAAAAACGAAGAGAAAATAAAAGAAACGAGAGAATCGCATGATTTACAAGATCCGCGGCTAAATCGAGTGCGACCCTTTTTGCTGGGCGGAAAGCCGTGGGCCGCAGCAAGCAATTCTGCTGCTGCGGTTGCTCGCCGAGCCTCCTGGGGAAGTCCGCGGGGACAGTCCGAGGACCGACAGACTGACTGATTTGGTATGCAGTCCCTGGCAAGCTGGCCGGATCGGCAAATTGGCGAAAGACACTGGGCAATTACACGCTGTTCGCACAGCATCGCCAAAACTCAACCTGCCCCATGCTGCCAGCGCTCTGCCCGCGCAGAGATCCAGCGCTGTGTTGTTCCTTCCTAACGAACTGGGCTGCTGTCAGCGGGGTGGGCGGGCGGCAGGCAATACATGACCCGCTCCGGAGCAGACACGCTCTGCCCATACGATGCGGATTCCTGGCGTCGTGCCGGCTGTGTTCTGGCTCTGCACCTTACCATTCCAAGGCCCTTGCTTGGAGTTCTCCGCTAACATTGACATGGCACCTCCGTCACGCCAAACCCTTGCCTTGTCCCAGCCGCCTTTCCATGTCGCCGTACTGTACCAGCCCTCTGTTATGGATACCCCCCGGAAACGGAAGTTCCAAGATTACCTATGAGTCTTCGGTCACCGAAGGCTGATGGGACCGGGGACTGGGGGCTTATCCTACCGGCAAAAACGATGTTGCTGTGGATGATGCAGGCGGTTCGTTGCTACACTCCCCCCCTTCCTCCACCCCTTGGAGCCGTAGGTACGTACAGTACCTTCGTCCGTGTTAGCTTCACATGGCAGGCCATGGACCTGCCAGGGCTGCTGTCTATCCTAGGCGCTGAGCAGTTAGTTGCCTTGCCGGGGGGTTTGTCAGGTTGATCCGTATAAGACTGTTGACACCGCGCTGCCCACATACCCGTCTCCTAGCTTTGTTTTATGGAGCCCATCATTAGACAACTCCAGCGCCGTCATCATCGTAAACGACCTCCAAGACACCAAGACGGTTGAACTCCAACATGGACGGCAAACAAGACGCCTTTCTCCTCTTCGGAGACCAGTCACTTGATACCCACGGCTTCTTGGCCCAGTTCTTCCGTCAGGGGCAACCTGGCATCCTCGCAAAAGCCTTCTTGGACCAAGTCGGATACGCATTGAGGAAGGAGGTTGAGCGGTTACCCAAACTCGAGCGGTCAAGACTTCCTGTCTTCAGGACACTACAACAACTAAACGAGAGATACTATGGTCAAAGGCTTAAGCATCCCGGTGTTGACGGCGCCTTGTTGTGCACAGCTCAGCTCGCACATTATATAGAGTGAGTTACAGCATTTGCCTTCCCGAAGCTCCCTGTGTCAGCGCTTGGACGTTGCCCCATGCAATTTGAGCTCAGTTCTAACCAACTCGTGTGCGTAGCCATGCCGAAAAACACTGCGAGGATATCACTAGCCACGATTCGACTCTCCTCGTGGGTCTCTGCTCCGGCCTCTTCGCGGCCTCAGCTATAGCTTCGTCACCCTCGCTATCGACCCTTGTCCCAATCGGCGTTCAGGTGGTGCTTCTGGCGTTCAGGACAGGGTCATACGTCCAGGCCCTCGGCGAGAGGTTATGCCCAGCATCTGACAAGTCAGAAAGCTGGACATACATATTTCCAGGCCTCAACCATGAGGACACTGTTTCTGCACTAGACGAGTTCCACGAAGCAACGGTGAGCATCAAAACAAATTCTTCATGTAAAGCGGGCTGCTGACGTCCTTTAGGGCATTCCGAGAACAAGTCGTGCCTACGTCAGTGCGGTGGCTGCAAGTAATATCGCCATCTCAGGGCCACCCAGCACCCTCAATGCGCTGGTCAGCAAGGGCGTTCTGCCGACTAAGCCGACAGCGATCCCGGTCTATGGCCCCTATCATGCCGCCCATTTGCATGCGTCCGTCGACCTTGACAAGATTCTGCGGCTCAACGATCCAGAAGTGGTTGATGCTTTCTACTGCGCGAAACCCCGATCATCCGTCATGTCTTGCTCTACAGGGGAGTGGTTCTCTGCTACCGATACGCCATCGCTCATAAAATCAGTCGTTTATGAAATCCTAAACGACACATTAATGTTTGGCAAGATATTGGACAGCTGCCTTGAGCGCGCCCGCCGGTTTGAGGCGAAGACCTGTCTCATCTTGCCTCTCGGACCGACACAAAATGCCGCCACGCTTGCGAATCTGCTTAGATCGCAAACCGACCTGGAAGTCATCCTCCGGGAACCTCCGGCAGTATCGCCCGAGAGCATCGCGTCTAGTATCGGGAACCACGGCTCCAGCGGGAAGTGCAAGCTTGCCATTGTTGGCTACGCGGGGCGCTTCCCCGACGCTGCCAGTGCTGAGAAGCTTTGGGAGCTGTTGGCCAAGGGTCTTGACGTCCACCGCGTCGTCCCGCCCGATCGGTTCAATGTCGACACGCACTATGACCCGACCGGCAAGGCCATCAACACAAGTCACACGCCGTACGGGTGCTGGATCGAGCAGCCCGGTTTGTTCGATCCGCGATTCTTCAACATGTCGCCGCGTGAAGCGTATCAGACAGACCCGATGCAGCGCATGGCCCTAACGACGGCATACGAAGCGCTCGAGATGTCTGGGTACGTTCCAAACAGGACCCCGTCTACGCGGCTGGATCGCATTGGTACGTTCTACGGTCAGACCTCGGATGATTGGCGCGAGATCAATGCTGCTCAGGAGGTGGACACGTACTTCATCACCGGTGGTGTCCGTGCTTTCGGGCCGGGCCGGATCAACTACCACTTCGGCTTCAGCGGGCCGAGCCTCAACATCGACACGGCCTGCTCTTCCAGTGCCGCCGCTATGAATGTTGCATGCTCAGCACTCTGGGCCCGAGATTGCGACACGGCAATTGTCGGTGGCCTGTCCTGCATGACGAACCCCGATATCTTCTCTGGCCTCAGCAGAGGGCAGTTCTTGTCCAAAAAGGGCCCTTGCGCGACCTTTGACAACGAGGCTGATGGCTACTGCCGCGGTGACGGATGCGCCTCCGTTGTCGTAAAGCGTTTGGAGGATGCCGAGGCCGACCAAGACAGGATCCTTGCTGTTATCCTGGGCACCGCCACCAATCACTCGGCCGATGCCATCTCAATCACACATCCTCACGGTCCGACGCAGTCTGCATTGTCAAGTGCTATTCTTGACGAGGCTGGCGTCGACCCACTTGATGTCGATTACGTAGAGATGCACGGCACCGGCACACAAGCCGGAGATGGAACAGAGATGGTTTCAGTAACCAACATTTTCGCCCCGGCTGACCGTAAGAGACCTGCCGACAGGCCGCTCTACCTCGGCGCAGTGAAAGCGAATATCGGCCACGGCGAGGCCGCTTCTGGCATCAGTGCGCTCGTCAAGGTTCTCTTGATGCTTCAGAAGAACGCCATTCCGCCACATGTCGGCATCAAAAAAGGGTCGGTCATCAACAAGACTTTCCCCAAGGATCTTTCGGAGCGGAACGTCAACATTGCTTTCCACATGACTCCTTTCAAGAGGAAGGACGGCAAGCCAAGGCGCGTTTTCATCAACAACTTCAGCGCCGCCGGCGGCAACACAGGCCTTCTTCTCGAAGATGCTCCCGTCCACGGTCCTGCCAGCCCTGATCCTCGTAGCCACCATATAATCACGGTGACGGGCAAGTCAAAAGCCGCTATGATCCGCAACGCCGAGAATCTGGTCTCCTGGATGCAGCAGCACCCCGACACACCGCTGTCGCACGTGAGCTACTCAACAACGGCGAGAAAGATCCAGCACTACTGGCGCATGAACGTGTCCGGTAGTGATTTGGCTGAGGCGCAGAACGCTATCGCTGCCCGTCTCAAGGAGAACTTTGTCCCCGTTCTCCCTGAGCAGCCCAAGGTAGCCTTCATGTTCACTGGTCAGGGATCTCACTACGCCGCCCTCGGAAAGGAGTTTTACGAGCAGTACACGGTATTCCGGGAGAATATTGAGGAATTTAATGTCGTTGCCCAGATCCACGGTCTGCCTTCGTTTCTTCCTTTGATTGACGGCAGCGAGCCCGACGTCTCCAAGCTGTCGCCTGTTGTGGTCCAGCTGGGTCTTGCCTGCTTTGAAATGGCGCTTGCGCGTCTATGGCAATCTTGGGGTATCAAGCCTGCCGTTGTCCTGGGCCACAGCCTGGGAGAGTATGCTGCCCTCGAAGTCGCCGGTGTCTTGTCGGCCAGCGATGCCATCTACCTGGTTGGCAAGCGTGCTCAGCTCCTCGTTGAGAAGTGCACGGCTGGAACCCATGCTATGCTGGCCGTCCAAGGCTCTGTCGAGACGGTGACTGGCGCTCTTGGCCCACGGGGTGCCGGCGTCAACGTTGCCTGCATCAACGGCCCCCGCGAGACTGTGCTCAGCGGAGAAGCCGGCGAGATGGGTGAGATTGCACAGCTGCTTACTGGCGCTGGCTTCAAGTGCACCCAGCTTCGCGTGCCCTTTGCTTTCCACTCGGCCCAGGTGGAACCCATCCTGGACGACTTTGAGAAACTGGCAGGTGGCGTTCAATTCAAGGCGGCCAAGGTGCCCATCATCTCGCCTCTCCTTGGCAAGTTGGTCGAGAGCGAGCCCATTAACCCTGCTTACCTTCGCAACCACGCGCGCGAGGCCGTCAACTTCCTTGGCGGGCTCATCTCTGCCCAGCAGTCAGGCACTATCGATGAGAAGACGGTCTGGCTTGAGGTTGGCCCACACCCCGTCTGTGCCGGTATGGTCAAGGCTGCCTTTGGTGTCGCCACGGTGGCCGTCCCCACTCTCCGCCGCAACGAGGCATGCTACAAGACTGTCACCAGCAGCCTGTGCACTCTGCACACCGCGGGCCTGAACATCGACTTCAACGAGTACCATCGCGACTTCAGTGACTCGGTGCGCCTGCTTGACCTGCCCAGCTACTCGTTCGATGAGAAGAACTACTGGCTGCAGTACACGGGCGATTGGTGCCTGACCAAGAACCGTGTCCCCGCGGCGAGTGCCAAGGCCATTGAGCCGGCCAAGCCCAAGCTGGCGACGACAACGGTGCAAAAGGTCATCAGGGAGGAAGTCAAAGGCGACGTCGCCATCGTCGAGATTGAGTCGGAGCTTCACGAACCAAAGCTCCGCAACCTTGTCTCCGGCCATCTTGTCAACGGCGCCCCGTTGTGCCCGTCTTCCCTGTATGGCGACATGGCCATGACCGTCTGCAACTACGCCTACAAGCTTCTGCGGCCTGAAGCGGAGAAAGTTGGCTGCAATGTTGCAAACATGGACGTACCCAAGACGCTCATCTTTGACGATGCGGCAAGCAGCCACATTCTGCGGTTAACTGTCACGGCCAATGTAAAGCTTGGGTATGCCGACCTCGTCTTCCATACGGGCGAAGGTGCCAAAAAGACGGAACACGCATTCTGCAAGGTCTACTATGGCAATGTCGACGATTGGCAGAGCGAGTTCGACCGTGTCGCCTACCTGATCAAGTCCCGTATCGACGCTCTCAAGGAGGCTGAGCAGCGCGGCACCGCTTCCAAGATTGGCAGAGGCCTGGCCTACAAGCTCTTCGCCGCCCTGGTCGACTACAACCCGCGGTATCGTGGCATGGAAGAGGTCATCTTGGACAGCAGCACCTGCGAGGCCACAGCCAAGATTCGCTTCCAGACCAAGGAGGAAGACGGCACGTTCTTCTTCAGTCCGTACCACATCGATAGCTCCTGCCACATCTCCGGTTTCATTATCAATGGCACGGATGCGGTTGATTCCCGCGAGCAAGTCTTCATCTCCCACGGCTGGGGCTCCTTGAGGTTCACCGAGATCCCCGACCCCAAGAAGGAGTACCGCAGCTACATCCGCATGCAACCTGTCAAGGGCAGCAAGGTGATGGCTGGCGATGCGTACGTCTTTGACGGTGACAAAATCATCGGGATGTGCGGTGACCTCAAGTTCGCGTCCATTCCCCGTAAGGTGCTCAACATGCTGCTGCCTCCACGTGGCGCGGCCGCTGCTGCCACCGCAGTGGGTGCTGCCACCCGGCCCGCCACCACTGTGAAACCCGCTGCCCAGGCTCCGCCTCCCAAGAGGACTGACAAGACAGACAAGGGAGTTACGCCTGCCAACATCTCCAAGGTCAACCAGAAGTTGAAGAGCGTTGTTTCTGAGATCATGGACATCCTTGCCAAGGAGGTGGGCTGCAGCCACGATGAGCTCGCCGACAACATTGCTTTCACGGACCTGGGTGTTGATTCGCTCATGTCCCTGACCGTCAGCGGCCGGATTCGTGAGGAGTTGGATTTAGACATCCACTCGCACGCATTCGTCGACTACCCCACCATTGGCGCCTTCAAGGGTTACCTCTCGCAGTACGAAAAACCCGGCCTCAAGGAGGACCTCTCTTCTCACGACTCGGGTGTGTCGTCCGATGATGAGTCGCCCGAGATCGAGTCCGACTCCAACGTGACGACCCCTCTCGACGAGAGCGAGACTGGCTCGATTAAGGGCGACGGTCCACTCAAGAACGAGTCTGGCGGCTCCAATTCCGAGTTGCAGGACATCGTCCGCAATACCATCGCAGCTGAGATGGGTGTGGAAGTGGATGAGATCATGGCAGCACCTGACCTGGCCAACCTTGGCATGGACTCGCTGATGAGCCTCTCCATCCTCGGCACACTCCGTGAAAAGACGGGCCTGACAATTCCTGCGGACCTTTTCGTCACCAACCCGTCCCTGAAGGATGTGGAGCGTGCTTTGGGCATCAGCGAGCGTCCCAAGCCGCCCGCAGCCCCTAAACAAGCTTCGAAGCCACAGGCACCCCCGGTTCCCAAGCATCCCAGGATCGGCATTGAGGAGCCTTGCCCGCCCAAGCCGCCGAGGCCAACGAGCCTCGTCGACGCGTACCCGCATCGCAAGGCCTCATCGGTTCTTCTGTCCGGCAGCCACCGCACGGCCAAAAAGCATCTGTTCATGATTCCTGACGGAAGCGGTTCGGCCACGTCCTACACCGAGATTTCCGATGTCGGCGGCGAGTGGGCCGTTTGGGGTCTCTTCTCCCCCTTCATGAAGACGCCCGAAGAGTACAATTGCGGTGTGTACGGCATGGCAGCCAAGTTCATCGATGAGATGAAACGGCGCCAGCCGCAGGGTCCGTACTCGGTGGCTGGCTGGAGCGCCGGAGGCGTCATTGCCTATGAGATTGTGTACCAGCTCACCAAGGCCGGCGAGGAGGTTGAGAACCTCGTCATCATTGATGCCCCCTGCCCCGTCACGATTGAGCCCCTGCCTCAAGGCCTCCACGCCTGGTTTGCCTCGATCGGGCTGCTTGGCGACGGAGACGACAAGAAGATCCCGCCGTGGCTGCTCCCTCACTTTGCCGCCTCGGTGACGGCGCTGAGCAACTACGACGCCGAGCCGATCCCCAAGGACAAGTGCCCCAACGTCATGACCATCTGGTGCGAGGACGGCGTGTGCAAGAACCCCGAAGACCCCCGGCCCGAGCCGTACCCCAAGGGCCACGCCCTCTTCTTGCTCGACAACCGGTCTGACTTTGGCCCGAACCGCTGGGACGAGTACCTGGACGTCAGCAAGATGCAGTTCAGGCACATGCCTGGCAATCACTTTTCCATGATGCATGATGAATATGTATGTCTTCTCCCCCTTTCAATATTTGAGACTTGATTCTAACATGCGACTTCAACAGGCCAAGCAACTCGGCGGCTTCATCCGCGAAGCCCTCCTCCAATAGGGATTTGACAGGACAGGAAGTGTGACCACAGAGACCCTCGTCGGTAGTAGTAGTAGTTCTGCTGCTGCTGCTCGGATGGTGGTTAAGAACCCTGCATCATCTCCCGCCCAGCGTGGCATCACTCTTGCTCCTGCTACGGCTGCTGCCATTACGGTGGAGGTGAAGGCTCCTCCATTTTGTCCCTCCCAACGTACAAGTAGCAGCAGTAGCAGCACTGCCACGGTGGTAAGGAATCCTGCATCTTTCTCAACTACAACTTCTTCTGTTGGCCGACAGAGGAAACGACAATCACATGCAATGGTGGCAATTTACCTGTTGGCATGCTTCCTGTTCTCGTGGTTCTGGATTTTACTCTGGCTTTGGACGCGCACGCGCATGACGTTCGTCGGGACATCGGGGTTATTATTATGGATTATGCCTTGGCCGGCTTTGAGCGAATGCTTTTGGCCGTGGTTTTGACAATGGATGGATGGATGGATGGATGGGGAGTTGGGGAAATTGCCTCTCGTCTTCTTTTTGATCTCCACCCAACCTTCTGTCCCTCGTTCGATTTCTTTCATTTGTCACTCTGTCGTGCTTCAAACCGTTTGGGGAAGTCTGGTTTCAAGTCTACTACTATTGTACTTGCTGGCTTTTCTGGGGTTGCGCTGAGTGGCTGTTCTAATGCTTTCTTCATGACCTGGGTTGAGATGATTTTGGAACCCAGGTGTCTTTTTTTACCTCTTGGGACTTGCTATGGGGTTTACAGGATCATGGGTTTTGCTGTTTCTCTGCTCTTCTTGTGCGGCTTATAATGATAGTGATTTGGTCGTTTTCAGCATGCGTGTTTTGGGTCTCGGTTCTCAGTTTGGAATGAAGATAGACTGCTTGCTTTTAGTTTTGAACTTTGTCTGCTTATTGTTGCTTGACTGCCCTTGCGTTGATTATGTTGTTGCTGCTGCTATGAGTTATCATTGTCACTGTCATTGCTATGCACCGTCCGCATGCTCTGTTATTGTGTTTGCCCAACATCACCATGCCACTTCCATAGCTAAGCTATCCATTGGCATGGTGTATTGATGTATGTACTATCCATAGTACCGCTGCCTATCGTTCAGAAGTCATAGAGAATAACAAGCACTATAGACACGTACATACACGATGCTGAACCGCCTAACTGTCCGTCAACATGGAGCTCATCCCCTCCCAAGTGATGCCCACTTTCCTCTTCCTTTTCCCCCCCGGGTAATCGTAAGTGGCAACTCACTAGCATCTACATTCCCCAATTTACTTACTACTTGTGGTGTGCACACCAACATATCATATCCCGGTAGTATCATACCTAAACTGTCGTCGACTCCAGGTTTCCCCTCATTGTTTCAGCCCTGCCATCTGCTGAGGTGTGGTCTGCTGACCACCATCTTCTTTCTCATGGCAAGACCCGTCGTGAAGCAACAGCAAAAGTCCGTCACGGGTCCGGCACCCGGCCGTTTTCTCATCTTGTATATAAAACAAATCGTAGTAATGTCTACTAATATCAACCAACTAGGAGCTCTAAACGTCCAGTTGATGTTTAACAGAGTTTGGAGGCGAAGTGCCTACCCTACCTGCCTACCCACCTGGAGGTACCTTAACGGCCAGCATACGTACGTACGTAATCCAATCCAATCCAATCCAATCCAATCCAATCCAATCCCAGAACTCTACGAGTTTGGCAAGTGCTATAGTAAGAAACACTCGGTGTTGAAGTTGGTCCGGGGGCGCGGGGTCATCCATAATACATGGCCATGCTTGCGCCAACGACATATGATAGGTACCTATGTACGCAAACGCGCGCCACGCGCATGCCCAAAGTCAAACACACGATCCATGATGCATATGAGATGATGCTGCCTGCCGAGAAAAAGCCGTTTATGGTTTCTGGTGGCGGTGGCGCGACTGGCTGGTGTGCAAGATATGAACTAGTAATTGGTCTCGGTTTGAACCGATTTGGGGGTGGTGGTCAGCAAGATCACTGCATATGATCTAAGTTGTTCAGGTCCGAGTCCAATCTTTTATGTAGGTAGTCAGCGCAGTAAACTTCACGCAGAGTCCGATCCGAATTCCGAAGTTCGCCCCGGTATATCTTTTTGGCTGTCTTACTTACTGACCGGACGTCGGCCACGCTGGCAGGTTGCCCAACCAACTGCCGGTGTTGGTGCCGGACGGATGGCAACCTACCGAGGAGGATGGATGGATTGTCGACAGTAGAGTGCTTACCACCTGGTGGGGATGGTGGTTGTGGTGAGGTGGGGGTAGTGAAGTAGTGATGGTGAGCTCCATGCCTACTCGCAGCAGTAGTACCACTGCTCAGGGTTCTGTGCGGTCCAACTGCCGAGTGAGAACCATGTTCAGTCCAGTCCCGTGGATCCCAGTAGGCTAATTCTGAACGGGAAACCAGGTATAATCGCACGAGTCAGAGATGGATGGCGACGGGGACGACTGTTGGTGCCTCTAAACAGTATGATATGAGAGTTTACCCCTAACCAGTCCCGTTGCGGACTCGGAATGGTGTCATCAGGCCTACTACTCGGGACCGATGGCGTGGGCATACAGACTGCCCCTTGTTTATATCGGTTTTGGAGTTGAGCCTTGGACTCGACTTCGCTGCATGCAATTGGGTCGCGAGTTGAGGAGCCTTGCGACTCGAAAGTGGTGAGAGAATGGGGATGGTCTCGTCAGCCCCCGTTACTAGTAGTACTTACCTACTCGGTTCAGGAGTGTGACTTGAGTAAGGAGCGTTTATGGGTGCCCGCGGCTTAGAACCGGGGAGAAGAGCCGTATAGTACTCGTGGCTGGCCCATCTAGAGGCTGCTTGGTGACTTGTAGATACTTGGTATACACCATCTTCCTCTCTCACACACACATCCCGCTGGCCCAACAAGTGTATGCGCAGTACACGCTGTTGTTGGATGGGTTCGTCCTGGTGGAATCGCTCTGTTGGGCTTACTGTACTGTACTTACATGCGCTCTGCATCTCAGCCCCCTCTCCTCCCTTTGCTCCTATCTTGCCCTGCCACAGATCTGTCGAATCATACGTACGGCTACTCAGTACGCAATACTAGAAAGTACTCAGCTGATCTAGTAGGTACTAGGTATTACTCTGTCCCCACGCAAAGCCATTGTTCCACAGCATTTCGTCTCGAGAGGCGATGTTGGGCGCCACGCGTGCATGCAAAACGACGAGGAGTGGCTACCTTACCACTCCCCTTGATTGCCTTGCGAGGGTCAAGGTTTCTCGGCCGTTTCACAACGGGCTACTCCGTAGAGAAAGACAGGCAAGAACAAGACATATCTATACATAAGGCAAGCAAGTCCGGAATGCTTACGCGTCCAGCCCGAAGCACGAAGAAATGCCGGGAGCTTGTAAGATTGCACGGGCATCTCCGGTCTCATGTGAGTACTGTATCGTTTCCCTCGACGTGACAATGGCTGCTAACGAGAAGTCAAGCCTTGAGCAGTTCAGAGGCTGGGGGTGATGGTGATGTCTGGGGCAGCAGATGACGTGCCTGCTACCCTGCTACCCTGGCATCCCCGAACCCAATCGACTGGTTAACACATGGCTGACGATCTGTGCATTGCAGTATCTATCTTCCGGCGTGGTATTGTACTGTTGACCCCTGACGGGAGCTCGGGGCAATTCATGCTGTCCCACGCTTGCTCAGGTCGGCCTGCTTCGACGATCAGATACACAGCACCACGGGAGTGAGAGGAAAAGAGGGAAGCACACGGATGCAAGGGCGGCCAAGGGGGCCTCTCGTGCTTATTCATGCTCGGTGTTATCCCCATCGTCGACATCAGTCCCTTTTTCACATGCCCGTCCCTTCCATCCTGAACCTCGTTTCTCTTCACAGGCTTCAAGTCGGTACGCTACGTCAGCCTGCGCACGGGTGAACAACGCCTGTTCTTCACTCTTCTTCCCTTCCAGTTCCGCCATGAAGCACAGCAATCCGTATGCTTCTCGCCAACCCGACAAAAGAAGGGTTCATCCCTGCTGTCCGTGTCACGCAGTACCGTGGTTATATAGCACCGAGTACCCCTTCGGTGGTCTCAGCCGCAATGATTTGTTTGCCACATTTGGTGAGACGCCAGAAAATAGGAAGCATAACAGCCTCTGGTTTCACGACATGCGGGCTGAGGGATGGGAAAGGGAGTCAGAGGTCATAGGATGAATGTCTCGGCGAGCCAACAGCCTGAGCGAGACTGTGTGAGGGTGGAAGCAGAAAACCCAGAATCACACCTAGGAAAGCTAATACTGGCTGTTGATCTTGCATGGACCATTCCAATGTGTCGCAGAGAGCATCGAATGACTCCCGCCCGGATCGCAGTTCCACAAACTCAGGAGTCAGAGAACCTGCACAAGCGCTCGCCCAGTCTGGCCATCAGGAGCGTACGACCCGAGAAAACGGGATCCAGCTTCCCTCTTCCACCGCTTCCCCGCCGCGTGCGACCATACTAGTATCAGACCAATCCACCCACTTTTCTCCCTTCGGGCTCATCTTCACCTATCTTCCATGCTGTGTCGATGGATCTCAAAGTGTTGTACAGCACTACTGAACAACACCCATCGCACCCATTGCGTGAAGGTCATGGCTTGCAATTCCCCGCGGAGTACAAGCATCTTCCTAGCATCCTCCTGGCATCCTCTTCAGTCAATAACAGCCTTGCCAACAGAATATGAAAGATAGTGGGAATGCTGTGGAGCGGACGACTGCATCGTCGTCAGCTTCTGCCTCATCTGAACTGAAGGAGGCAACCCGTGACACACAAACAGTTGAGAGAGGAACAGAAGGAGAGAAAAAAATATGCAGACAAAAGACAGTTCAGATTTCGAAATGTTGCGGAGACACGACACTCGGTCCCCTAAAGTTCCCCGAGTCTCCTTGTTTTTCCCACCAATGGCCCATTCGTGCTTCAGCAGCCCCCCTGATTCCCCTTTCTTCAGGGGTAGCCCAATGCTTACTCACCCAGCGCCCGCTTTTCCTGGTTTGGTTTGTTTATGTTTGTTTCCAAGGCTCAGGGGTGAAATGAGAGCTACCCACAGAACACAACTCATGAAAACATAAAAGGGCCCGTGAGAGAGGATAAAAAAAAAAAAAAAAAAAAAAAAAAAAAGGTACCAGCGCACACACGATCAGTAATCGATAACTGGTTTTCCTGTGAGGAACGCAGCAGTGCGACAGGAAAGCGCCCTGAAGCCCAGTCAATGTGCGCGTGCATTTTCTGCAAGAAAGGAGGAACCCGCTAGGGCAACCCAGAATCTTTTCCCTTCCAGACTGCTTGTGGAGGCAGCAGCATAAAACCAGACGGTGTGCGTGTTGGCCTCGCAGGCGAAAACGAAGCAAGAGAGCCCACATGAAAAAGCTGGACCAAGGAGCATATCAAGTGACTGACATGTGGCGGCTTTAGATGCAGCCCGTGCGCCATTAGTTTACTTCCCCTTCCAAATTTGCAGTGAGCTTTTCTTCTTTGGACTCGCGGTCAGAAGTTGCAGGGGGCCATCGACGGGGGGTAGGAAAAGGGTAATCAGAACGGCTGGCCAAAGTCTTTTCTCGTGGTAGCTGTTCGTAACTGGGTTCTGGCGCCTAATCTTCAACCCGTTGTTGCCTGACATTTTCTTGGGGCGTGTCCTGGATTCCCCGGAGAAACACACTCCTTTCCCACCACCCTTCAAGTTAGATTCTATCCCAGTCGCCTCTCTGTGAGGTCGTGAGAGCAGTTTCCATGTGACCAGTCTGGTCGAGCTGGGATCAAATTGAGGTCAATCCGGTCCTCTAGGGTGCGTCGTTCTAGGCCGCCAGAAGACGTCATCGCATGGGCATCCAGTGTCCCTAGTATGCGTAAACACATGTATCCGATCCGAGAGCCGGCTAGGAGCCACCAAAGGATCTCGGGTATGGATTCCGCCTGTGAATCGAGCTTGCCATCAATAAGCTCGTGACACGATCTTCATCCGGGACGTGACGGATTCCCATGTACCGTTTCTCTTCCTTCGGCAGAATAGAAGATACATAGTGGGTTAACCGTAACAGCATGGCGCACGCAGGCAGATGCATCCTCAGGCCAAGCGGGTATCCATGAAGACGCAGCAGATCGACAGCAGGCGCAAGCTGAGCTGTCGTGGGATGTCATTGCGATGTGAATCTTTGGCGTATGCACTATCGACCGCCAGAGTCTGTTCTATACCGCTCAGGGTAAACGTTATCAAGCCCGGCCACGAACTTGGTATCATGCCAAGAAGCTCTCTTCTTTGCTGAACCATGCCGCTATTGTTGCGGTCAGCGCTGATTGAACAGTCTTGCGACGGAGCGAGGTCCGAGCCAGCCCAGATCTGATTGCAAAGGATGATCCAACCCACTGGCAGTGTCTGGATACGTTGATACGTTCGCACATACACTTTATGGATGCGTCCGCACATACACTTCAAAAGCAGAAATTCGTCGCGAACTTCGATACGAATCTCGGGACCCAGGACAACCCGTGTACCGTGCAGGGTTTCCCGGCACGGCAGGGTAAGCGCAGTGGCTCTAGCCGTTCCCGGCCGCGCCGCGGCGATCCTGTGGTCTCGGCATCATGTTCAGCTCAACCTAACGCTCGTTGCTCGCACTCCAAGTAAATAAAGGTGAGCGATGTCAACTGAGAAGACTGCCAAAGGTGTCAATACGCTGCTAGAACTGCTGGTGTTCTGCCGTCGTCGGATCCCCTACCGAGCACAATAGTCTATGACATGCATGCCGATGAAGCAGGCAGCCGACTGTGACATCCCCAGACGCGGAGAGGTGCAGCCAACCTCGTGTCTAGGTCGTATACTGCACGGGAGTGTCCTGACAGGAAGTGGTCCTCTCCTCTTGGTTTGGAATTATTCATTATTGTTTTCCCTAGTTTCTTTCCCTTTTCCCTTTTTTTCGTTTCAATTTCCTCGCGTTTCCCAAATGCAGGATGTGTGGTTGTAAGTGCTGACCGGCGGTTGGCGCTCTGTCAAGCAGGCGCCACGTCAACCGCTAAGATGCACTTCTGAGAGAGATGCCGGGATGCTAGTAAAGCGTCCACAGATTCGGTGAAGGCATTCCGAGCGTAAGATGCGAGTCCCGTCTGGGTCATGATCGGCACCAACGAAGCCGGCAGCATCCTGGCATCATCTGACGGATGAAAGCTGGTCCAGGGCCATTGCGAATCGGTGATTTGGATTTGCTGCTCGCCGGTCTCGCTCTCTCTCTCTTTGTCTTACCCACAACATCGCTGACGATTACGACATGGCGTCTTGGAGTCTCACAGTCTCGACAAATTGGCAGCGAAAGGTGAGGACACCCCGCCCCCGCGCAACCCGCAGACTCGAAGGCTGCTACTAATCGCGGTCTAATCGCGGCCTGGTTTTCCGTATAGTGCATGTGCTGTATCAGATAGTTAATGGGGCTCTCAAGACTAACCTCGCCGAAACATTGACTGAGAGCCAGTAAGCTGAGACCATGCTCGATAGACGCGGTTTGGGTTAAACGAGATGGACCAACTAGTTGGGAAGGATCGGTTCCGAGTTTTACATGTCTTCTCAGCATCGAGTACGGGAACCGCGCTGAGTGGCTCGTTGGAGACGAACAACGCTGCAGTAAGGGAGTTCGCTTTGGCCCTGGCCGCCTCTTGTGCACCCATGGGCTGACGGCTTGTGCTGCATTGCAGCGCCACGAAAGAGTAGCGTCCGCTGCCGACCCGCTGGGGACTTCAAGATGCGGCGACAAGCCGACGGGATCGGTATTGGCACGCACCCACGTCATCCCGGGTAGTTTCTGTTCTACCGTCTGTGGATGAGATAAAAAGATAACGAATCGAAACCACGGGCTCTTCTACGGATGTGCCGGGTATGCAGGCAGCAAGCATCCAGTGAGGTTGTCTTAGTTGTCTTGCTGTAGGCTATTGGGTGAGCATAGCATTTGGGGAAAACAGAAACTGGGTGTGCAGTGGGTGAGTGTGCCGTGAGTTTACTCTTTTGCTTCCCCCTCAGCTTTCGCAGGTTTCGAGTTAGGTACAGCTCCACTGAGCTGATTGATCGAGCACATCGGTTGTTTCAAATGTGCTTTGACATCGTCTTGCCTCCTCGTCTTCGTATCCTTCGTAAATGTTCGAATGAAGTGCAGTGCAATTAAATCAAGGAAAGAAAGAACCTGGTCAAGTTAATGTACCTTAGTACGCTGGGAAGGATGGACCGCTCAGATCTTACCCGTTGAGCTAAGCGCGTGGGCCAGGGCCCAACAAGGCCAAGATGACAGTGGGGTAATCAGTGGGGTTTCTAGTGGAGTTTGTCAACCACAACGGCATCCAAAATTCTCCGAATACTGGATATTCCAGTGCATCTCACTGCCTTTGGTAGCTAACCTAAGCTTGTGGACGTGCTGTTCTGTATGTACAGTACGGTAATTACATACAATACCAGCCCGATTCTACACCTTAGACATAGTCGTCGGGGTCATGACGAGCTCCGCAATGAGGACGAATGTGAGAGTGTGTGGATTCCATTCCCGGACCAGGTTGCACATATATTTACATCTGCCATCTTGCTCGCAATTGTAGACCTCCCACTGTTTTAACTTGCATGCAAAGGTCTATCCACTTCTGAAACGGGATAAATGGGATGTTTGTTGCGACGCTAGTCTCCCTGGGCGAGGGAAGATGACCCAGAATAAGAAAACCGAAGCAGGAGAAAGAACTTTGGCTCTTGCCTTCCCTTGTTTCGAATTATACCTCTATATGTATGTATGTACTGTACAATACAATGTCATACATAAGGTAAGTAGATATTAAGCTCGAAAGTTACGTGTATGTACTATCTTGCACTGCTTCCCCCCGACATTTCTATTTTGGAGCAATCCGCTTCCTCTCCGCTTCCCTATTGAGATCCCGGGCTCTCTTGCAGCATTTGGGCCTCAAGCTCCTCAATGAAGGTGCGATAGCTAGTCGTCTGCCTGTTCCGCAGCTGGCTGGCCTGCAGTTTGCAGTTTGCAGGGTGCATGGCGCATAGAGTACATATACATGGATCCATCGTTGACTTCAAGGCATTGTGACAAGTATCAACAGCTACTTGGGACTCGTCTCGCTGCTAGAAGCTGTAACCTTGAGGGGCCACGACTGCGTAGCTGCCCGTTCACATATCAGGCCTCACTGGATGCACATGATGGATGCCGCGCAGAACGACTCGGATCTCGTTTCCACACCTCAACCTCGTCGTTCTTCGCTAGTCGAATGGAATTCATATATTGAATACTCGGGGCCCAGCGTTAACTATGTAACAAAGGGAAGAATGGAAAGGGCGGTTCAACAATGCACTGCAGGGGGAACTCGAGAATAACAGACAACCTGAACTACTTACCTGGTCCGCAATCCTCCAGGTCGTTTCGATCGGAGCTCTGCGGCTCAGACAAGGTTCTGCGTTAGTGTAGCTGACCGCTCTCTGTTGAAGATGGTACTTTTGTGCTCAGTCGCTCGCTTGCAGTTTAATCAAGCGGCGGAGCTCCTCCGCGTTCTAACATTGACACCAGCATCTCCCCACAACTTGTCTATCCTGTCAAAAAGCTCTGCCAAAACCTGATCGCTGAACGAAAGTCAAGCCAACAGCCACCTTCCCGCCCAGCCTAAGCCAACCAAGCAGATCTCTAGTGGCTGCGAGACATGGGAAGATCGTGTGATAAAATACTTCCAAGAAATCCCCCTTCGTCGGCTGGTGAAATCCACTCCATCGCGGTATGTACTATACAGTGTACTACATAGGTAGTGTATTAATACCCTGACTTTATGTAACTAGGTATGTATGTACATACCCTACTTACGCATGCCTCGTCCGAACACAAGGCTTGATCAGTTGGTACTGTTGGTCCGTGAGATCGGACCCCAAGAAAATTTCCATTCGTTCCCGAAGAACAGATTGGAAGTTCCGCTTGGGCCGGGTTGGGTGTGCTTCCCAAACCAGCAAGACCACCAGCCATGCTCCCCCACGAAAGCAATGGCGCTTTGCTTCATTTGCACGGAGAGCTCCACACGGCTCAGCCTGCCCAAGTGGGCTTTTGAATTATTAAAATAACCTGTGGCTGCTTAGTGCGGTGACCTTTTTTACCTGCCACTGTGTATTCCTTTTTAAGCATAAGATACAATCCACTTCCTCCTCCTCCCAGGCTTCAGTTTCTTGCCAACAAACGCACTCTCTCGGTCCCGGGTCAGCTTACTGGAGACTCTGCAAGGAAGCTTTGGGTACTGGTGGTGCCATCTTTGGATTCTTCTTGAACTGTGCACAGCTCGATCCACTGACGCTTCGTCTTCCTGTGCTTTCTTTAACCCTTCATCTCCCTCCATCCTTACCTTCCACCTGGAGAGCATTACGTAGTTCCGCTTCCAACTCGTCTCAAGCTGCCAAACGCTATTACCGTGCGTTATTCTTGCCTCCTCAGCATTAAAGTATCAGCTCTGCAATCTTTTATATACCCACGTGTTCCCGGAACGCGGACCATTTCGCTTGTCGCCTGTCGCCTGTACCGCCCTCTCTCCTCCCTCTTGTTTCGGGATTTGATCTCTCGTCTGGCATGCCCTCTGTTGTTTTCGTCGCCGCCTAGCCTACTAGCATCGAGGTCCACAAAGTACCATCCGCTCCTGCGCCTAGACCATGGCGTCTTCGAAGCCTCGCCAACCGCGACTCCGCGCCTCCTGCGACGGCTGCTTTCTGGCCAAGGTCAAGTGTTCCAAAGCAAGGCCAATATGCTCCCGCTGCCTCACGTGCGGAATCGAATGCCGCTACTCACCATCCAGCCGGACCGGGAAGCCCAAGTCAGATGCGAGTTCAAATACACAGCCTCCAGTCACGACGGATTTGTCAGGATTGCCTTCACCAGGGTCCAATGACAAGGGCATAATGTATATGACTTCCCAGCCCATGACAGGTCTTTACAGATTAGACACGGGCTGGCACACACCTCCACACAACGCCGACGGTGGCATGAGCCGGAGTCACTCAATGTCCAGCTTGGCCATGATGGGCGTTGATATGAGCGTGGCGGGGACAACGGATCCGACACTCGCGCCAGACATCTATCCGGCCGGAATGCCGTGGACACCGCCTGCCGACATTTCCGCCCAGTTTGGAGAGCCCCCGGCAATGACCGCGCAACTAGGCCACGGCCGATCCCACTCGTACGATTTGGGTATGTCGGCATCAATGCCGTGGGCCGACGCTACTGCGCCCGAGATTTACGGTTACGACCAAGCTCAAATGCCGCCAAACTACTTTCCTACCCCCGCCGCTACGCCGCAGCAAATGAAATGCACCCCGAGAAGCAAGTCTTCGCCCAACGGCTCGGTCGCCTCAGGGGGTTCTTGCACCTGCTTTACCGCCTGTCTACAGTCACTCCAGGCCCTGCACAACGCATCAACTCCCGCGGCTCCACCTTTTGACACGGTACTATCGTTGAATCGGAAGGCGGTCGAGGGCTGTGCTGCCATGTTGAGCTGCGCGAGATGCATGAGCCGCTCAGGGACGCACACAGCAGCCATGCTCCTCGCCACCGTCATTGGCAAGATCACTTCTTTTTACAAGAACGCGTCCCACGCGTATTTCGAAAATGGCTTTTTTCCTACAATGGGTTCTCCCAATGCGCTTGGGGTCGCCATTGGGCAGTATACCCTTATGGGCGACGATGGCAGGTGGCTTGAGCTGGAGATACTGGCGAGGGAGCTGCGGAAGCTCGAGGAGGTATACGCCCAGTTCAAAGATGTCTGCGCCGATCTCTCCGAGGACCCAGAAGTCAGCAAGGCCATGATCGGCTATCTTGGCCATAACCTCGGTTCGACGCTCGAAGTCATACATCAGAGGAAGGGAGACGCCGCCGCATAAGTACGAGGTTCTCCCAGGTTGCCACTCGGAATCTTGCCGTTCCTCTTCTACATTTTGATTAGCGCTGAAATATCTCCAGCCTGATGGCTCGGTGGTTGTTGACAACGGTATTGTCTATTATTATCAGATATTGATTCACTCATTTGCCTCGCTGGCAAAGAGCGCGGTCCACAGTCCGCTGAATATTTTGGCTACGCTTGGTTGCATTGTGGGGAAATGGGCGTTTGTGAGAACTTTGGTCTGGCGTGGTGTTCAGGAAGATTTTGGCCGGGAGTTAGACTTCAGGATGGGAAGAGGTGGTGATAAATGTGCTGTGGGTTCCAAGTACCCAGGAAGGGAAAAAGTGCTGGCGTGAGACTGCGGGTTATGAGTCTATGGCCTCACGTCTCCCGAATTCTTCTCTATATCTAATTTCTGCAACATCTAGAGACTAAAGAGATGATTCCCCAGTTGAGGCAAGATTGGGTTTATTGGTTTTTCTGCCTTCATGATCTAGTTGTGATGCCGAAGCGGATGACTTGGACTTTTCTATTCATTTTCCTGTTTTGTCTCGTCAGTTTCCCTCTTTTCTTCGCGCTCCTTTGAGTGACTTGATACCAGATATGAGGAGTCGTGCTCATTCACTCAGTCCCAGTAATCACATACTACAGGCTGAAAGATGAGATACTGCGAGCAAGCCAGATCAATTTCATTGGCCATTTATCAGCCGTCGTCCCCCGCGGTATCTCCAAGCTCCCCCACGGGGTTGCCGCGATTGGACTTCCACCTAGGCAATGGTCAAATGTGCCGAGCCACATCCACACACACGCACCTGTTGGCTGCCCCATCTGATCTGGCCGGGTGGGGTTCTCCGAAAAGACACCTACACGGCTGAGTGGCTGATGATAACCCAGCCTGCCTCAAGCGGAACGCCGCCATTGCGTAGCCTCACTCTCACATTCACTCGTGAATTCCCCAAAGTCATCCGGGGTAGCAGGCTCATAGGCTCTCTGACCCAGCCATTCATGGCTGTGGAATATCTGCTTACGTACCTTGTACATATGCAAACCGTGGGCATTTCCCACTCTCTGAAACCCTCCCAGGTTGTGTATGCCTGAATGAGCAGCGCTGCCAACCTAGCTGTACACAGACATGAGGAAGGTGGGTAGGTATTGGAGATGAGTTGAGAGCTGGCATATGCGCACAGGTAAGGGCAACATACGCCCAGTGGTAAGCAATTTGCAAGTTTAGGCTCATTCGGAGATTTGGGCGGTGATGCTATACGTCTTCTTCTAAGTTGCAGTACCTAATCCCAAAACAAGCCACAACGGAACACTGGTTAAGTAACTGCTTTATCTAATGTAGGTAGGTAGCTACCAAGACCTCTTTAGCTAGGGCCTTGGTACCAAAAGTAACTGGGAGAAAACGGCAGAACATGCTCAGAAAATTGATGTCTTAGCAGATGTCAGTCACAAACAAGCGCCTGAAGCATGGTTAGAATGCGCCTAGCTACACCGTTGTCTGACCGGGCCGGAAACGAGGCGAGCCGAAGTCAGAGTGGGAGAGAAAGGGCGGGATGGAAGTGCAATAAAACCATGCCTGCATTGGAAACGCAATAATGATACTTCAAAATCTGCTCAGAACTCACCCTTGCAGTGGTTCGCCAGTAGGTACGTCCGAGTCGCTCCTGAACCCGCGAATGCTCACCTAACTAAGGTACCTAGGTAGGTAGGCAACAATTGGCAGCGAGACGGGCCGCCATTCCCCGAGAAATTGCAGGTGCTTATCATTGAATCGAGCATCATTACCACGGGCAATCGAAAAGAATGCATACGACTTTGGTAGGGAGTTCGGAGAGGGTCGTAGCATCGAACATTCCCGTCGGTTTACACCTTGCAACTACTGTCCTTACATACAATATTCGCATAAATACATACGTCCGTACACCCAGGGCCTTTTCTTGAGTAAGGCTACCCTTGCTAGCTGTGCCTGCCCGATTAGGAAACCGGGTCAGGGTCTCTGGCCTATCAGATCATTTGACGCTCGAGCCACCCTGCACACCCCGCTTCAATGCGCAAGGCCATTGTCCCCTCTTTCTTCCGCCTTTTTTTCTCCTCAATGCCTCGAGCCAACATTCACCTAACCCATTGAATTGCCCAGAGTAGCTCAGATCAGTCTCCAACTTGAGAATTGTCTTGTCTCTCTCCGTCTTGCTTCTCTTGGATGAGACGATATGTTGAATCCATGCTCTTTCCTCTGCTGCGTTTTCTGCAACAATATCGCCAAGGACGTCAACGCACCATACAATTGCTCGCGATTACGTTTCAAGCCCGCAGACTGCTGATTACAAGACGTTCTATTTTGGGTTCCGAATCTGCCCTGGTGTGAGATCTCGGCCTGTGGTTCCAAGTGCTACACTGCAAGACGATATTTCCACCTGTATGATGCCCTTGGCGAGTCTTTTGAATCGTCCCGCTGTAGCAGCTATCCCGCCAATCTTCAGGTGAGGTCCGCATCCCTTGTTCACGGTGATACATGCTCACCCAAGAATGTTATCTGATGCTACCTTGGCTCTGCACTGACTGCTTCCTTGGAACCCACCGGCACGGGACGCGTGCTCAAGCCAGCTGCGCACGTTGCAATAATACCCACACGCGCGGCTTCTCGACCAGCATCACGTCTTCTTGCTAAGCTCCAGACTTATATGTTTCGACCTATCATTACTGTCATAGGATCTAGATTTCCCAACACAGCATCCATCGAGCGGAAAGCCCTCTCGGGACTCCTTATGCACCTCGGGCAGATGTCGGAGACACTGTCAAGGTTGCGATGCCCCACCATCACGAATAACCCTTTGACTGCCTTCGAGAGCGCTGCAGACCTCTGCAGCACTATCGATCTGTTATCGTACAATATTCCAGAATCCGAATTCTCGGGGTCCAATGCGCCCGTTGTGCTGGAATCGCTGACAAGTCGCCAGGGGCTCGCATCTCCAATCGTCGGGATCTTCACTATCCAATAGATCTACAATAACCTCTCACAGCTAGTACCACAGCTGCAGCAACAAAGACCGATGCAATTGACAGCACACGTAGTGTTGCTCTGCAACGCTACAGGCTCATTAACGAGCTATCAGAAGTTTTGATTCTGCGATCACTGTCGCTTCGCAGTCCTAGGCTGCTTTCGGAGGACCAAATCTGCTTAGGTATCCCGTCTTGTCTGCACTCTTTCACCCAAACCAACGAGTCGGCCGCCGTTCACCGTCTATCAAGAAGATGCACTTTTCGCCCGCCGCGGGAAGCACGGCAGTTGCTAAGAGCTGGTTGAAGTGCTGCACATGCTTGCCTGCCGAGGCAATGTTCGTGTTGAAGCAAACGGGTGAGCTACTGCAGTTGCATGGCCAACAGGACATCAGCGAGTTCTTCGTTTTCGCCTTATGGCGCGCACTATCTCCAACCAACTTTAAAGCCTTTCCGGAACCAGGCAATTGCCACACCACCATCGCGCTTCAGCCGCTGGATAGGAGGTGTGAGGCGTTTGCAGTGCGCCTGCTAAGTCAGCCGCGCCTGTATGACGCAGCCTTCAGATGCCCCTCCAATCCGACCAAACATCGCTAGTAGGTGCGCCCTGAGCTGACGTTGGGCCTGGCCCGGCAGCGAAGCCGGTGTGAATGGGCATCCAGGCGATCACCTTACTGCCCTTCGGCCAACAGCCGCGGGTTCCCAGCAAGCGGGCAGGGCAAGATATAAACGTACGTACGCACTTGTGCATACAAATGAGCTGAGCTGACTGCTATCGCTGACATATCGGTGGTGCTTGCTAATCGGCTGGTCTACCCCGCACGCCGAGGCTTCAAGCCACCGATCAATAGCATGCTGTTGGCTCGACTCCGTACTTGGCTTCTTAGAAGCCCAATTCGACCCATGCGGGATTCGCATCGGTGGCGTTCCTGAGGGGCACAGCACAGCAAGCGGCTCTCGGGACCGAGCTGATCTGCCCCACAACACACAACCGGTCAAGAAGAAAATATCCTATCACTATTCCCTCCTCCTCCTGCGTAGTCTAGAGACTGGAGATGGCAGTTCTGACCCTGTACCTGTTCTGGGCTATCTACCAGCTCCGGGCCGGGCCCTCGAAGCCCTCTAGCTACTTTCCCTATCCCCCGTTAAGCCATCATCCTGCACGCTGAGGTGGCGGCGGTCGAGAAACCGCCAGTGGGGCTATCAAATGGACTTTCCTCCTTCTTGAGCCGATCGTTGGTACCTCTCAACGCTCAGAAGCCGCACGCAACGTGGTGTGACTAGCGCGCCAGTTGTTCAAGCCATGGCTTGTCAACAGCCAGCCACTTCTGGATGTCAATACCGATACGAGACAGACAAGATGTTATCTGCGCGCCCTAATGCGGTATGCTCCTGCCGAAATCGCAGGTTGGGCTTTATTCTGTCTCTCCTCTCGCCGGAACCGCGATCGTTTAGCGGAAGCATTGCATTATCACCTCCTGACGCGATTGGGTTGGCCGGCCTCACATCACGGTTCGAATCTTGATGATCTTGACAGCTTCCCTGTTGTTTTGTCGTCAAAAGTTGCTCAAACCAAGAGCGACTCAGACAGGTGTTGATCATTAACCTAGAACGATAGAACGATAACAGCCCACAGCCCTATGGCGCGGTACCTGCAAGCCCCACCCCCCCAAAAAAGCTGCCTAGCGTCATGGATCTGCCGGATCCGATGCGCCACTGACTGTGGCGGCTGGTGGCATTGCATGCACATGGCTTTTCAAGATGGGGTTGTGTGGAGGAGGCAACACCGAAGGCGACCACGTAGCTTGGTGACTGTTGTGTTGTGCTACTGGAATAGTGTGGGCCCATAAACTCTCACAATTCCGACCAGGAAAGGATAAGGATGGGCCAGTCAGCAGAGAACGATTCAAGATCCGATTAGCCCAAAACAGGCGTCGAAACAGAAGCAGGCAAGCTGAGCAAGACCGGAAAGAGTAAGACCCTGCACGCAGTTCCCGATCAAATGACGGCGTGAGATGGACGCCCAACCCGCGCAATTGGCCCCCTTGCGGTGCAATGGGAGCGAAGAGAGAGGGGGCAGAGAACCAAAACACCATTCCCGCTCAACCTTTTGCTTCCCGACTGGAAGTTCAGAAGAAAGGGCCCAACCAAACCCAAGGGCGACCTGTCACAACCTAACCTAGTGCCCGCCCGGAACGGGACGGGAATCAAGGCCGGTCCGTCTGTCTTGGGAGGAGGAGCCCCTTACACTAGCTTCGCGGCGTTTGCGGTTGAGGCGCCACCTCCCGTCACCTCCAGTCGGATAGCTTCAGAAAGTTCAATGGTTAGGAAGGGGCCCGGGCCGCGCAAAGGCTAGAACAGACACCAGACAAGCCGGACGGGACTCGTTTCCATCCGTCCCGCCCCACCTTTATTTGTATTCAAGTAGGTGGTTGGGTTGACTGCCATTCGGGCTGTATTTGTTACCTACCCTTACCTCAGGCAAGATACTGCACAATACTTACGGTAGCTTTGCCTTGAGGCCTGAGCCTTCTCAGGTCTGGGCTTCTTGGTGCAGCGCAGGGCAGTTTACAGAGAGCAGCTGAAGCCAAGGCATTGTTGCAGCATTGTGTGAACAGTACTGTAACCCTACACAGGTTCGGACATGTAGAGTACCGGTACGCTTCGCTGCGGTATGTGCGGGAAGCAGTGCGAGTCTATGTTGGTTGTTGGTTGGTTCAAGTCTTTTTGCTCTTTTGTTTTGGCTCTGAAACGAGGACATGCACAAGGTATATGCATACTGTGCATAGTACATACATGATACATACGTATATATGCCTTGCTATAGACGAAGGAGACGAGAGATGCGTATGCTTGACTGCCCGTGGTGAGAAACGGGCTGGGCATGTATTGTATGTATGTACCTACAGTGGTTTTTATTGGATGGGGAAAGTTCCCGTCCATTTGGATGCGAGGCGGATAATGTATCCGTCCGTACGCTCGATCTACTTGGAGAATGTGCAAATACATTTACATACACGGGACTTCGTTGGACAATGTAGGGAGGTATGTAGCGAGGTAGGTTGATAGGGCCAAGGAGCTTACATGTTCAGTAAACGTAGTTAAACCCCCGATTCAGGTGACGCTAGGTAATGTGGTTTGTGTGTCTAGGTATTGCATGAACTGGGCAATTTCAAGGTTTGCCCGCGTCAAGGTGTGCATCTAAGGGGGTTATGATTGTGCTGTTGTCGACATCCACTTATCTGCCCATCTAACCCCACGTTATCTCCCCGATGGCGATAATGAAGGCCGGGATTCAGGAGTCTGCCATGTCAGCTTGGATCCCGTAGTTAATCTGCTTAGGTAGGTTGACGCTTGGCTTTCCGGCGCCTGGTGTTTTCGGGCTTAGTTGTATCCCATGTGCGGTCATTTCCCTCCGCTAGCGGGATTGTCATCGAGTTTCATGGAACGAATCAACAGAAGTCTAGAGTGAGGACCGGATTGTCTTTGGAAAGAAGGAGGGGAGGTAATATAAATGTGACTTGGGAGTCAGCGAAGGGGCGACGCTGTGTCACTGGATCGCCCCTGAATCCCGGTGTCACGAGCTTGGTCGTGTCGCTTATCTTGACATGGTTGGTCGAGTCCAGCGCCGGTCCGGTGGGACGGCACCCGGAGTACGACCCCGAGTCAAACTCACAGACCGGGGAACCTTGACCGCGTGCCGTATCGCGCCGCACTGCCTGCGCATTAATTGCTCGATCGGTGAGAAATAGCATGCCGGAGCCGGACGACATCTTGTCACTTGCGCCGCTGAGCTCGGCTCGGTGACGGACGGGGTTCTGTTGTTTGCAGAGCGAGCTTGACGATCCCCATAGGCTTTTGTTGTTCGCCAAGTTCGGTGGCGTGCAGCCGCTACCAGCCGTATCGCCGGGCGATGCGTCTCAGTGACGGCGTCACGCGTTGGGACCCTTGGAGTGCCTGAATCTTGGCTTCGCTTAGATATCCATCTGCTTGGCTCGATCGCGGGATTCACCTCTGAGCATCTTGAATCCAGAACGTTACCTGAACCGCTTGTCCAAGTTGGCCGAACTGCTTCTAGAGAAACAGCGAACCTGGTTCGGTCCGGTGCTGTGCATGTAATGCAACAAGGAATGTACGGTTATCCAATGAGGGCAAGGGGTCGCATTTTCAAGGGGGGATGATCGATTCCACTATCGTCAGCAAATGATACCTGCCTACCTTGGGCAACCTTCGGGCGGTACTCAAACTCATCTCGGTTGTGATGGAGGCTGCTTGGATGTCGGTTACTCCCGTCCCTGAATCGTGTCTTCGGGCTTCTTGGCCGGTATTCAGTCCGCCAGAGATCCTGCACTTAGGCGAGACATGTCGCCATCCGGTAGCTGCCTGGGCTGATAGTTTGCATGAACCGTGACGTACATCTGTGATTGATTAAATCTGGTGTGCCTTCCCGCTGCGGACGAGTTGCCCCGAGCCTCACCTTGCCTTCGGATGTGGGCTGAGCGTGAATGATGCCAGCTCCAACCCCCCTTGGAACTTGCCTCATAATCAACAAACCAGTCGATATTCGCGAGAGAAGACTAGGATCAAAGCGGGCAGCTTCCCAAATAGGGCTGATCGTAGCCGTTGTCACTAGTACGCTCATAGTTTGAACGGGTGTGTAAGGCTGAGCTTAGAGCAGGGCGAGAAGCAAACCATATCCGGATCAAGATAGCCAGATCTAACGTTAACCTATCGATCGTCAGCCACAATGCATGGCTTCCAACGGAACCGACTTCTCTAGCGCAGCCGGCGCTATGCTCCCGGCATGGTGCCGTGGGTATCCGCTACTAATTCCAGCGGAGGTGGACACAGGGCGCAGCAAGTGGCCGAGCGTTGTGGAACGAGGGCCTACACTAGTCGAGCAGCTGCACGTCAATGCCTGCCATCCGCCGATGATCTGCTTTTTGGGCCAGCGACCACGGGAGACGGCCCTTGCTCCGCGGACCGGTAGTAAAGATTTCGCATCAACCCATGACATGATAGGTAGGTAGAGGAGCCATAAGCGAGCACCATCACACCTTTCCTTCGGCTCTTGATTCGGCGATAAGGTTAGGTGTCAACTACCTCCTCTTTGTGGACATGAAACTAGCAGCAGGCTTGCCACTATCGTCTGCCACTCAGCACGACGTGGGAGGGGGTTTAGCTCCCACGTGGGGTCTGTGGCAGCGACGGCAGAAACCAGGCCAGATCGAGACACGTGAAATAACTGGAGAGGCTCGACCGTTATACCGGTTCTAAGCTCACGTCTCTTGACGCAGGCTGCCGATCACATCACATGCTATCGATACGTCAGGCTTTGTTTTAGATAGGGAATCATCGTCACCTTGGCTTACGTTCGAAAGATTTGATGGTCTCCAGGGATGTCGTTCTCGTTGCAAATGTGACAAGATCGTCCAGCTGCTGCCGATCAGCTGCATATTCTCTGTATGGACACTTCTCAATGGGACAATCGTCAGGTTAGGTAACGGTCAGTTCCTGGGTGTTGGGATACTCAGCAGCGGGGTCAGGAGAGGGGAAGCGCCCTCTCCGTCTGTTACTTTCTCGATAGCTGGCTCAGTGGCTCACTGGCGCCCGTAAAAGGTGAAGGATGAGGGAGTAGGCGTAGGTAACAGAGCCAGGGAGGCCGTAAAGCATTCCGGGAGGAGGCGTTGGGGTATCAGGAGGCGTACTAACGAACACGATCGGCTAAGTTAAGATGTTCCCGCGCATTTGATCTTTATGCATGGGACTTTGATATTGCGAACGGAATCCGGCCTGTTTGAGAAGCCGGACTCGGGCAGGGGAAAAGACCTAGTAACCAAGGGCACTTGGTCCTTCATCCTGGATCTTCCAAGGAGAAGTCTCAACTGGGACAGAGGTCTTTAGGCGACCTAGGGCGACTTTGCCTGGAGTGATACAACGTCGCCGAGCTCGTTGAAAAGCCAAGGGACCTGTATGGATGCCGTGAAATTGTGGCGCGGGAAAGCGGAAAGTGGCCTTGGCGTTAACATAACAGAATGAAAGTGGCGTGACGATGACTTTCAGGATGGCGGCTTTCGAAGGTGAGAAGCACGATCGAGCTCAAATCTGAAGCGGCAGGAGAACAGGCGTGGCTGCGGCATGCTGCTGACGTGCAGCTGCGTGTCTGAGAACTACCCGTACCTACCGTTAATCAATGATACCAAAGCAATGCCCAGAAACGCAATGGACGGATGTCCAAGTACCGACCAGAGGGTGGCTCTTGCCTGTGCGAACATGGATGTCGAGATCCAATATGTCCAGGTCCCCACGGATGTCCGCGTTTCCTCCGTACTTCCTTCCTTGCCTGCAATGACCCGACGTCAAACGTCGCCGTACCGTCACGTGCCTTGCGAACACGAGGCGGATATCAGTCATGAGTTCAGGTAGGCAGCCGGATCTTGTGGTAGGTGTATACGTCTGGGGTTGGAGTCGAATACCGTGATTGGCCATTCAGCGGCTTGTTCTTCCCTTTTGCGTCGAATTGGATGAGAAGTCATGGTAAACAATGGTTACAGATGATGCTTTTTCCATAACGCTAGTGTAAGTCTTCCCAGAAACAAGGTTTGGAAACCACTTGAACAAAGCTAAATAGCAACGCTAAATATGTGCACAGGACACCCCTGGTTTGTTCGCTAGCGTGATACATGGAGTGGATCTGAGTCCCATACAAATTGGGTGGGCAAAGGAGTCTCAATTAGTATTTGTCAATGTATCCCCCCCAGGCCCGAATCACTGCCTGTAGTCGGCGAGGCATCGAATGTAATACGTGAATCCATTGATTTGAAGCCCTGGAAGAGGCCTAGCGATAGCTGTTTTGAAGCCCTGTCGATTGGAGTGATCTTGCAACGTTGAAAATATATAAGGAATAGTCAGGTCCGGGAGGTTGAAGAAAGAGGAAAAGTTGCAGCCAGGTCGATGCCAGGGTAGAAAAATCGTGGGTTATGTAAGCCCAAAAATGGGTCAGTGAGCCAGATGCGCGCGTTTGGTTGGTCGGATTCCTTGGGTTCCTGGGCTGCGGTTGGCCAGAAAAAGCGGGGCAAGTCTCGCGCTAACAAACAAGTATTAACCTGTACAGTAGGTACGAAGTAGGCAGGCTTGGTGTTGTGGATTTGCAGGGGTTTGGATGGCACCTTCCCGCTATAATCTAGCCAATCAGGGGCTAGTTCTAGAACCTTTCAGGAGTTTAGGGCTGACTCCCGATCTCTCTTCAACGACCAACAATCCTCTGGTGCTGATCACCAGCTGAATCTTCCTTCCCAAAACTTCCATCAGATCATTATCCCGCCATCGCGATTTCACGAACTGACTGTAGGAATACAGTCATGTATGCGCACCGCATATCCAGCACCAAGGCTGCGGCACGTTGTATCCAGATATGACAGCAGCTATCCGGGTTACATTCTGCGATGCCGTGCAGACTGAAGGACATGCATCCTTGCCGAGGGGTGACAGCCATACAAATCTGTCCATCCGTCCGCACCGTGTTCGCGATGCCTCACCGCGGGGCTGTTCGGGCCCAGCTCCCGAGTTGACTTCTCGTACAACTCTGTGTTAGCGAATGTCGGTCTATTGTCTTGTCAATCTTGCGTCGATATTGACATGCCACCAACAGCTAAGCCTTCCTCAAGCTTGGTTTGACGCACCATGGTTGAATTTTAGCCGGGGTGCGAATCCTTCCGAGGCAAATCGATCGCGACCGCTTCCAGTACGCTTGCAGCAGCAGTTCCCGGGCTTTTGGACGAGTCTCGTCTCTGCTGTGCTCCCCGCGCCGCCCGCCCACACCACCACCACCTGATTGCCCACCTGCCGCCATGCGCCGGGGCCGCCCTCTCTGCCGTTCTCGACGTACCCGACGTCCCGATCTGCATGCGGTCGAGAACACCATTCTTGAGCTAGTAAGAGCTGTTGTCCTCACACCAGCGACTTGAGTCATTGAGGATACAGCGACGGCTGCGGCGAGAGCAAACTCTCCGCTGCCCCAATTCAGACGCACAAGAATGCCAGTGCTGTATCACCACCTCGAGAGGTCACTCGTTCTCAAACACCATTGCTCTAGCATTTTGTCCAGTCGGGTGGTGTACTACTTTGGGCCAAGCCGTGAGACCAGTGGCTTCTGCTTGCCTCCTGGTATGCATATCTGCATCCGGCAACCTGCTCGTTGCTTTCACATTCCACATGACGTCTAACCTCAGGACTTAGTTCCGTTGTGCCTCCAGAAGAGACATGGATACGGAACCAAAGGAGTTGCAACACAACCAAGGGCATTCCCGCCGCTGTCAGTTTTCTAGTTGCCGCATCTGCAGTCGAGGGCGGACCATTGACGGGCAAGTGGACCCCACCCTCCTGGACTCCCATCGAGCAATCAACGCGAGTCATTATTGCGCAGTTATCAACCCCAGGTTTGATGGTTCCGAGACGCAAATCTCGAATGGGCGGTCACCTTGGCCTGCAGGCACCACCTGGGTAAAAGCGCTCCCGATAAAAGGACGGCACAGCACGGGTTCTGAAGCACCTCATTGGGGTCGGCCGGGATTCTGGGTCGAGCGCGTATCGACCGGCAGGCAGGCTCCCCCGTTTAATATCTCTGGCTAATATGCGTTTGGACGGGATTGGACAGCCGTCTGCACGGGAAGCACCCCGACCGGGTTTTGGGAGGCTGAAATAGCACCACAAGCGTATCATCCCGCTCACATCACACAGGACAGGCACCAGGGCCAAAGCGTTGGAAATCTTCCGATCAGCATTTCCCGCTCCCTGGGTCATGAGAGGGTCCCTGCCCCTTTGGATGTGACTGATTGGGTCCTTCTCACGAACATGCAAAAGCTTGGCACTGCAGCTCTTAGACGACACCACTGCGGCCGTACACCATCTTCCCGGTCTAACAACAACCGTGGGTTATAGCATGGTCATACAAGCGGGTCGACCATCAGGTTTGATGCCAGGCATGCTGGGAACATATTGCTGAGCTTATTCTGAGCGCAAGGGACTTTGTGCCAGCCTTTTCCTTCCATTCCGCACCTGCTACTAAGCAGGCGAGGCAGGTAACCGGCACTGCACTAGCTCACGTACGTGCTCGTATCTGGAAATTATGATGGGTAGAGCAAATGAAGGATCCCGCTCATCCCGCGTTGCACCCCGAGATCGATGGGACAATCCGCCCCCAAGAACCACCCATACACTCCAGTGAATCATTCGGTCGCCTAGGAGATGGTCACCGAGACATGAACTACGTAGGCCAACAACCGTCAATCTGACCCTTGCCTGTTGTGTATGTACATACTTTGAGAGTAGTAGACGGCACTCCCCAAGCCACTCACCCTCCCTGGCTAGGCGAGTTCCCTACCGCTCCAACACTCTGTACAGTGCAGTGCTCTATACTGCACTGCACTACTCTGCTTGGGTGGTCTCACCCTCATCACCATCATTCATGAATACCAAGACCAGCCAAACACCAAGAATCTGTCATCCGCCCCTAGGTGCCGGTTCCTTCAGTCAGGAGGAGCTGGACTGGGACTGGGATTCGCTGAAAAAAATCCCGAGCCAGACAACCGGCATTGCCTGCCCAACCACCAACATACAATCATCCAAACACACATACATCATCCGTCAATGTCATCTTCCAAGATGAGCTTAGCGTTAGTTCCCAGCCTAAAATAAAAGCCTTCCAGATTGGTTAATTGACATGCTTTAGCACTAGGAATCGAGTATTGTAGCACTCATGAAGAGAAATGATGTTTGTTTACATTGCGAGGTCGGGCCGTAACCATAGATAATATAAGAAGACAACGCAAGGTCGGGAGGGGGATAAACCAGGCTTGAAGGGAGGATAAACTTGGTGCTTTGAACAACAACTAACTAGTGTTAAATGAAGGATTTACATCTCTAGGTACTCGGTAGATACGAGAATGGTATGGTATTAAGATTGCTGTGAGGACCAATCCGTAACGGCCTTCCTACATGTATCACATCACAGCACCTCTCGCTTTCTCTCTCCCATGCAGTATCATCTTCAAATCACACTTCTATTTCACCAACCTCATCACTTCAAGCACGATGCTAGTAGAAAGTCCGGTAGCTCCCAATAAGTCTCAGCAGATGATGCCAGATGGCATCCCCCCAGGAGACGATAAGTATATTTACGTTCATTTAACCCACAACAACGCCAGTACCGACGATAGAGAAATCGTGTGTGAAGAAGCTGAGATGAGGGTGATTTTCAAAACACAAAGTAGCCGCCACTGAACCTTGAAGCAAGGGAGAACGTCCAGTCCATTCTCCCTACGCTCCGTCCGAAGTCTTGTCCCTGAATTCATGTCTAGAAGAAACCCATGGATTAATAAAAAAGAAGATACTCACCCCAACCCATCCCAGCCGTAGTAGTAGTAGTAGTAGTAGTCTACCATCATTCCATAGACATAGACATAACCCCCAGTACAACGCCCCCAGTACAACGCCCGCCCACCCCTTGCCGCCAATCCCAAACTGGGCCCCAGTTCACATTCAGTCCATTTAAGTACCTTATCCAAGTAAACGCCCCCTTGAGTCCATTTCTAGAGCCCACCGCCCTGCTTAGGTTATGAAGCACCACCACACGACGTCGGGTCGCCTATGGAATCCACATTCCAGTTCTTCCCCAGCTCTATAAGCTTCCGCTTGATGCCGTCCCCAAGACGGGAGCTGAACCCCGCCTCAATGTTTTGCACCGCGTACGACAATATGTCTGCAGGCGCGTCGAGCGTCATGGTGGAACCGTCGCGCCGCGTCAGCTTGGCGACGCCCTCGCCGTTCCAGGCAAAGGCGACCAGGGCCGGGTCCTCGGGCACGGCCTGGTCGATGACGACCTGCCTGGGGCTCACGGCGCCGGTGTTGTCGCGCTTGTCGGTCTGGAAGTTGGGGTCGAGCTTTGATATGCTGTCGGTCCAGAGGATCAGCGTCGCGCGGTACATGGCGGCTGACCACCATGCCGGGCGGCGGTCGTTGGGCATCTGCCGCAGGAGGCGGAAGATCTGGCCGCAGTGGAAAATGGCCTCCTCACGCTGAAAGATGCAGCGTTTGTAGCGGAGGGACAGCTCCCAGTAAGAGCCGTCAAAGCCCTCGCGACGGGCCAGGCGCTCTATTTCCAGAAAGTTGGTGACGGCATTGAGGGAGATTAGATGGTAGAGAACCAGATTGCATCGGGTGACGGGGCACCCCGGGTGCGCTTTGCTGTAGGCCAGCGTCAGCTCGTACCATTTTTGCAACAGCGCCTGCACCTCTTCCAGCCTGACCTGTGTCGAGGCTTTGGTGAAAGTGCATGCGCTGGTCCGCCGTGTGCCCACAATATCGGAGAAGCACGAGAGCATTTGACGGAGATGGCACAGGAGCGACTGAAGCGGGTGGAGAATCAACCTCAATTGTTGTGGGGAGACGCTGCCCTGTCGCCGAGAGAGGTTATCCTGCAGAAAGTCTTGGAAGAGATCATATAGAGATGGCGTTATTGACGGGCCGCTGAGAAGCTGAGGGTTGACATTGGCGGTGCAGCCATACACCGACTGCATGGCTGTGAGCCACTGCTCCGAGTTTGCTGATAGCCAGAGTACCTCGGGACCGGGTAGTGGGCACTGAAGTTCAGTGACGGCAAATAACGGCGCCGTGTCGTGGAAGAGGCTGAGCTCCTGATCCAACATGACGTAGTTGTACACCAACCTACACGGTCACGAGTGAGCAATCTGAGCGAGGAAAGATGTTTGACATATGCCCCAGGACACGACCTACCTATTCCGTGTCTCCCGATTGACCCAGGTTCGCCACTGGAGCTCCGTGTTGGCCGAGTCGGTGAAGGACGGGATTATCAGCGGTTGCGGGTCCAACATGCCAGCATGCTTGAGCATCTAGGGATGCAGGGTTAGCAGGCGTCGCAGGGTATGTCCATAGTCCCAAAGATCACTGTCACTTACCGACATGTACATGCCGCGTTGACCCATGGCGATGTCCATAAGCCACTTGTCTCCGCTCCAAGCGCCGAGCACAATGAAGAGCATGGCGGCGCGAAGCGCAGTGGGGTCCGCGGACAATTCCACATCTTTCTCGACAATGTCGAAGAGGGAGATGCGACATGTTTCCGTCAGCCCAGCCGAGAGGTAGCGGGCTTCAGCCATGGGCATCGCAGCGGCGCCCTGGGCAATCATGAGAAGCACAAGCAGTGTAGATGCCTGGTTGTTCTGCAGCATCTCGTTGGGATCCACGCATCCCGTGACCAAGGGGTAGTACACGGATAAGCTGCGGACATAGCTGCGTAGGAAATACTCGAGGATTTGAGAAGGAGGCAAAACTATAAAGTTGAAATCGCCCGGGCTGGATATCGCCGACTTGGGGTAGCCGTTGAAGCCCCCGCGGTGGATCTCGAGAGCTTTATGCAGGAAGCTCTGGGTGATGGCGAGCATCTTATCACGTGTCCGCGAGGTTAGAGGAACAACGGATGCCAAGTCGGACGCGTCCCAATCCGCTTGCTCCAAGTATTTCTCCAAAGAGCGCCAGGTACCCTCTTGTTTCGATTTTTGCTCTAGGCACTCGAGATGGACGATCGCCGTCCGAGGGCAAGTCGCCGTGTCCACGGGCGGATTGCAGCGCGCCAAATTCCAGGCTCTTTCGGCTGCAATGACAACCTGGAACTCGGGAATCGAGCTTTCTGTCGGGGCCACCATGGCGAGTTCCAGCGGTTTGAGCACATTATCGAAGTCGCTCGTCGACATGATACTCGTTCCGCGCGTGTGCATAGAACCCCGCGATGATGATGTCGTCATGGGTTCCGACAGCGAGGACATGTCGCTGAGCTCCGGGAACGTTGGCATTGAGATATCGGCTCGGGCAAGCGGTATGGCATTCGGATACAAATCCAACTCTACCTGGTACTCGGGCGGCCACGCAATGTAATCCTGGTATGGCGCCTCGGGACCCTGTAAGTCGTTGCTCATCTGTTGCATAAACTCGTCCAAGTTGCCATCGACCCGTGTATGAGGCGATGGGAATTCGCGCGGGCTTATGTGCGAATGGGGCGAGCCCTTTTGCGGAGATCCGACCGGAAGGCCATCTGGAAGACGATCGCCAGCGATGGCGACCTCGATGGCCGAGGGAGACTTGACATTTTCCCCTTTCACTCCGTTTTGTTCCTCTAGATAGGAGGGGTGAATCCCGGGCAACGTCACTTGCTGCGTCGGTTGGGTCATTGTGGTCGGATACGCAGCCCTCGCTTGCGCGACTCGGGAAGCCATCTTGGAAGATCGCCTCGCGAACCGGGCGGCGCAGGGCAGATTTTTCTCAGCACACCTCGAGCATGGCACCCTCTTGTCACAGCCCGTCTTCGCATTGGCACAGTTTTGGCACGCGATCGGCGACCGCCCGGCAACAGTCGGCACTCCGCCTGGGATCGGATCCGCCGGATCCCTGGCCTCATGGTATGTCGAGTGATGTCTCTGCAACAGATCCCTATGAAGTACGGCAGTTAGCTACAGCGAACATGGCTGTGCAGCCTCGACAAGGACTAAGCGTTTGCTTACCTTCGAGCGAAAGAGAGCTGGCAAGATCCACAGCGGTGCGGTTTGACATTAGTGTCTTTCAGGGCCACCTATGTTAGCGACAACTCGTGGGGCAGGGAGGAGACTGTGAACTGTGGAGGGAGCTTCTCACGGCTTGGTATATGTCGCTCCAAGTGCTCCTTGCGGGTGAAACTCTTCCCGCAATACGCGCAGAAGACCATCGCCGGTGCTGTTCTCGTTGGTATGCCGGGCGCTCTGGTTCCGGCACCAGTTGTCCCGCATTTCACGGGGGGTGTTGGCGTGGCGGTGGCCAGGTTGACGCGACGAAGCAGCCCAACCGGGCAGCTATCCGTGGTATTGTTTACACGGTGGGTGGGCGGGCTTCCGAGGCGGACAGTGACCGTAGGCGGAGCCGTGGTGCTTCAGTGAGGCTCTTTGACGACGGCGATATCCTCGTAGGCTCTGCAGTGAAGCCGGGGGATATCAAACGTACACAATTACAAGGGAGAGAGTGGATACGCAGGAGCGGCAAAGGCCCAACGAACGAGGAGGGTGCCGAAGCCGACCGACGGGATAGGAACAGTAGAAGAAGTCCAGATTCTTCCGGTATATGGGTTAGGAAGGCGAGCGAGCTGCTTTGGACAGCGGGACCTTTTCAATATCGGGAATATTGACCAGACATAGTTTACCCTCCCGGGGGAGGGGATCGGTGCTGCGGCAAGCTGAGCTCGTCAGTCAGAGCCCAATTCACAAAGGTCTGGCGGGGACAGGGGTCTGGCGCGGTGCATCTGCAGAGAGAGGTGTGCTCTGTGTTGGTGAAGGTGGGTACGAAGGTATCGATCGGGGTACGTAGAGTGCAAGACACCGAGAAAGGCGAAGTCAAGCCAACCAGATTGTCGACAGTGTTCAGCCTCTATCTAAAAAAGGCTACCCCTGCCCCAGGTTGTACCTTGATACCCTCCCGTACGAGGCAATGCCGTCATGCGCCCGAGTATCCAGGGCTGTACAACGCCGAAGGCGTGCCAGCTCAAGTCAAAGAAAGTGACAGTTCGATAAAACAGGAGTTGGGAAAAAACTACTTACCAAGCAGAGCCTCTGGCCGAGTGATGAGGGATGTATGTATGTTTGTAAGTGTATATGTATGCTAAGGAGCGACAGTCAGATGCCAGCCACGGGAAGGGTTCCCCTGACCTATGGTCAAGCTGGTATGTATGTACTTGTACCGTGGCCGAGCTTCTTTGGGGCTGGTCAGATCCCAAAAAGGGAGTAATGAGCTGCGGTGAACAAGAAACTCCCAACGCAAATCCTGACGGAATTTGATGAACGTGTAATGGTCAGCCAACAGCACTGGCAGGAAAGGTAAGAGCAGAGAGGAAGGGCAAGAAAATTGTGAGAAGAATCACTAGCACAGCAGAAGCGGCTCGACAGCTGCCAGCATGGCGGTATGTACATACAGACGCTCTGCAGGCGATCTCATGGGCGCGCATGCACCAGCAGTTTCCAGTCCCGGAACGCGGTTGTCAAAGCATCGAGACTCGAGAGTCCCGCTCGTAAAATGACTTGGACGGCGGCCCATACACATTGATTGCGGAGAGGGCGGCTTCTCAAGGGCATCAACGACCGATACCGATCTACATCGTCAGGCATACGGCAATCTGCCAATCACGGTTCAGCTAGACGGCGTGTGAGGGAGTAAACAGGACAAGGGTCTAGGCCGCCTCTTGACTCTTCAGATATGTTGAGGGAGAGAGAGCCGGTAACGAATGCAACCCTACTGAAGGTTGGGCGGGGCAGGGGCCCTTACACTACCTCTCTGTGCCCGCACCGCGGGACCGGAAACATCGTCTCGGGTCTGTACGCTGTGTGTGTGCCTGTTAGTGTATGTAGGAGTACCTTATGCACATAACTGGGCTGTATGTAGACTGCACTATCAGCGGGTAGTTTAGGTAACTCACAACTATCGCCTGAGGGGGTGTGACGACAAGCGCGGTCCCACCGTGACACGGGTCGACCAGAAGAAATGACTCCATAGTCCAGAGTATTGTGTACTGAAGAGTACCGAAGACACTCTGGCACAACACACCCGGCCAACGATCACCACGACCGCCGAAACAACAACAAGGTCGACATTCGGTCGGTCAGCCGGTCGGCCGTCATCGTGGCCGGCAGAGAGGCAGAGGAGGGGTCCAGAGAGGCCATGGTGACTTCCCATGTCTCGGTTTCGTCGAGCAGAGTCGCCCGCAGTCGATGCCACGGTGGCTAGCCCCAGGCACAATTCGGCACCGGTGCGAGCTTGCCGACGAGCCACAGCAGCGAAAAATCAGGAACGCGCGGGAGCTTGTCTGGGCCGCCACAAAACGAGAACAAGGGGCTGATAGGGCGCCAATTTGTCCAGGCTGTAATGTTGTGTAAACCCGTGGCCGGCACCAGGGAGCGGAGTCGAATGAGGTGCGACTAAGCGTATGCAAGGTTCGGTGATGAATCAAAAATGGAAAGGTTGGCGATCAACCCAGATCATCGGCTTTCCAATACGGTCACGCCCCTGTTTTGCCTGCACCCTCCCCCCCTGTGCCTGCTTGGCTGCATTCGCTGCTGTCCCTGGGAAGTCACTAACGTAGGTTAGAGCAAGGGATCAGATCCTGGTGACGACAGGGGCAGGGGCAAGCGCGGTCCACTACACTTAGTTACGCTAACAAGTCAGCACAACCCTTGCCGGCATTCACCTTCATTTCTCATTTCTTAAATTCCTCGTCTTGTCTGTTGCAAATGCTTTTTCCCCTCCTACACCACATTAGTGTAATTGCTTTTCCCATTCTTGTTGAGTTCGCTTGGAAATTGATGAGTTCGTTTGCAAATACAGCGCTTTGTTTACCATGTAAAACTCGGAAAGGCCTTCGCACAGCCACGGCCGCCTTCGCCATGTTGGAGTGCTGAGTCTTGACCTCCAGACACGGGGGATAAGTAGCCTTATTTGCCGTGACACAGTTGCAAGTGCAACAATGGCCTCGTGAGCACGCGGGATGCGACGCCAGAGCGGCCCGCAATCTGCCACTACACTACACATCCGGTCGTCTCTGCTCCAACCTGCTAGAGTCGTTACGGAGTACTTACCCGCTTCAAGCAGTGTTCCTAAGCGCATTTTGAGTTCTTTGCAAGTGCCCTCAGCAGATCTACCGCGCGAACCCGCGGTCAGAAAAGCTCGGCTATCGGCCACTCTGGTAGACGAACCGATCTTTGAGCAACTCTACCCTTTACACAAGCTGCAGTGAGCGAAGCCGCCCTCAAGCCGCGCCCGCGGTTCCTGCGTCTGGCCAGCCAGGGAACTTTCATTTGAGGCAATGTAGCCAGCCGGGTGCAAACCATATCTGGGAAAGCATGGTCTGTAAAGGGTAACTTTCAGGTTTAAAGTTCCTCTTGACAGGCGGGAAGCTCCCAGGGATCCTATATTGGTCCGCTTCCGGGTCAAAAGTCCGGGCATGAAGATGCCTCAAGAATGAAGGGGATATAACTGTGACTGTGAGCGAGAACAACTTGATGGCTTCAGGGCCACTACCCTGGTATATACCAACGGAGACTCGATGTCATCAACCTTGAGATACTGTTCCTTGACAGCCTCCTTCCACTATGTACATACCCCTTGCCTTGGTAAATGACCTAAGATACCAGTTAGTGGCCTAAGGTGGCTTATACATGCATTTGCGCCAATGAGACGGCGACTTCGGGTCAAGCTTCATGTGGCTGCCACAGCCGACTTGGACGTCTTTGACTCCGCGCCATCGGGCTGGAAGCCTCCGCAACCTGGAATCATGGATGACATGCGAGCAAATGTCCCGTAATCAACAAAACTCTCTTGCTTCACTTGTTTACTGCTCGCTGACCAAGACGCAATGTCCGTCCCGCGGCCCGCTTATAAATTGTTCGTCTCCGCAAACACGGGAATGCGGCAATATCGGTGCCAGACGTGTTATACGGCGCAAGTTCAGAGCTTCAATAATCGAGTATATGAATCCGGCTAAAAATAAGCGCATCACTCAACTCATAACTGGTACGGCTACATTGATTCAATGGCATCGTCTTGATAGGCTGATTATGATAACCTTATGTGAGAATCTCGATGAGTCGATGCGCCTAATCGCCGTCTTGAATCTTTGTTCAACTTAAACCAGAGGGCCTCGTGCAGCCCGCCTGGCGTGACCCAGATACCTAATACCTCCCCGTAAGGATATGTAGAGATGCCAAGCCTCCTTCACTGACAGCCTCGAGTCAGGACCAATGAAGATTTCGGGTGGGATGGGTGTGGGACTTTCCGTCTAAGGCACCGCACCCCGGGGCCGAACCCCATCATGATACGTACGGCGAACCGCCGAAACCTAGGCCGGCGGCTGTTCCGCCTGGTCATGACAGCCCATCGCCGAACTGAGGCACTGCCTCCTCCTTTGATGCTGACAGCAGTGTCAAAGACTGCAGTGGTCTCCAACTCCACGAGTGAGAAATGCGTATCTTGACCCCCTCTCGGCCGTCGTCGTCCGTGGAATACAATTTGCGATTTTGAGTGGCTGCTTGCCGATCTTCTAGTGTAAGGTAAGCTGATATCCCCCACATTATCTTTGTCTCAGATGCCGGGCTTGATGTGGGTTCATAATGTTACACGTGTTGCGGAGATAGTTCACTTGTTGTCAAGATGTCAAACTGACGCCACTTATTGGGGTCGTCAAGCCAACGTGGGTTATCACGAGAAAAACTTGCAGAAGGAAAAGCAATTTGAATGATGCTAGTCTCACTCGTCCTAAGCTACACCTTGATCGTCTGGTGTGAATTTGCTCGAACGGCAGGCGGGACATGGAAGCGCCAAGAATGGTAAGCTCACCGTATTTCAATGTTGAAATCAATGTGATAAGCATCGCCCCGGAGCGTCTTCGCAGTTGAGAAAGGTATATGTACGGAGTATAAGATAGCCAAATAAACTTCAATGAGATGACTTCCAAGGACAGCGGCCGTATATAGACTAATTCATCAAATCTGTTGTTTATGTACCTACCTTAGGTATATACTCCGTATGTACTCTTGGTTGTAGGTTGAAGTTTTTGTGAGAGTGAGGTTCATGAAGTTCTCCGTAAAATCCGCTTGGCAAGCCTGGGTGTTGCCGGGGTCGAGCCGGGGTCTTAGCCCCCGGCTTTGTATGGGTCCGCCAAGAATGGTCCTACGCCACGTGATTGCCGAT